GGAGGCCCAGGGCTGGTGGGAGGCAAAGCCGCTCTTGACTGAAGAGCAGCTGGTGTCGCCGGGGGCCTGGGCCTGGGCTGCAGATGGGCCGGATCCTCCCTCACCCCAGTGCCCCCGGATGTAAAGTGGGCACCGTTTGGGGGAGTGCTCCCTGTGCCTCATTATAAAAGTTACAGAACACGCAAAGGAGGGAGCGATCGGTTTGTTAGTTGGAAATGATGGGCATATCCAGGGGCGCTGTAAATAGGAGAGGAAAGCCCGGGGCCAGCCTGCCAGGCGGGTAGGAGGCAGGCCCCCCCCAATTCTTGTCAGCCTCAGTACCTTATTTTGAACGTATTCTTCCACTAAGAGCTACCATTTACTGAGCACTAACAATGTGCCAGGCCCTATGCGAAGCAGTTACATCATTTGATCTAATTTTCAAAACCCAAGGCAGAAGGTATTAACTCCATTACACATGGGAAAACTCCGGTTAGGAGTCCCTAACCACCTCTAGAGAGGGGCATAGGAAGGCTTTTGAACCAGAGCTGCGGGAGCTGCAAGTACGAGCTCCAGAGGAAATGATCTGTGAGCAGTAAGGGAGCGTGGGAAGCATAACGGGACCAGGACAAAATGCTGGCTTCTGTCTCCGCGGAGGCTCTGCTGGACCGTGTAGGGGCGCCACAGCTAGAGGTGTGCCCACGCCCAGGGGCTGCTGCAAGCTTCTCTCCCCATTCTGGCAAGGCCTCGTGAGGGTCTCCCAAGAGCCCCAAACCTTTCCCACCCCCCGAATGGCTGGGCACCGCCAGACCAAGCACCTCACACAGACTCTGCTCAGATTATGTGCCCTGGCCCCAGGGGAAGGCAGGAGGGCAGCTGTGGGGTCCTGCTGGGTGGGAGTGGGGGACTCCCCATCCACCCTGGGCAAAGGGGCTTTGGGGTGAGAGCGATGACAGAATGACAGGCCAGTCCAAGAGGAGAGTTGAAAACAAGATTGACGTAACCCTTTATTGCAAATTCTAAAGTAAAAAGATGTACAGTACAAAGTAAAATTGAAATTTCAGACTATAAACTTCCAACCCACTTACACATTCTCATTTCTCAAGCATTTCTGCCATTTCCGCATAAACGGAACAGGGAACAAGTTGAGGCGGTGAGGGGAGGAGATACAGCAAGGGAAAAAAATTAAGTGTTTAGAATAATCACAAACCCCAGAAGCAAGTGAAAGGAAAGATATTTTCTCGACCTGCTGTCCTGGTGATGAGAAGCGGGAGTGGTTGGAGCAGTGCAGTTTAAAATGGCTCTCAGAATAGCAGCATTTATGGTACCATTTCATCTTCCTTAAGTCCAAATAATACTTCGCCCTTCCCTAGTGCCTTTGCCTCTGTATCTCAAAACACTTTACACAACATTTAGTTAAAGCCTCACAACACCCCTGTGAGGTAGGTCAGTATTATTATCCCCATTTTACAGATGGGGAAACTGAGGCACAGAGAGGTTAAGTGACTTGCCCAAGGCCACACAGCGAGCCAGCGGCCGAGCTGGGAATGGAACACAGGAGTTCTGTCCCTTTTCTGGAACCACTGGACCCCGCTCCCCTTTACCTATATACATTCTTCACACACACACCACAAGTGCACACCCACCCCACCCCACCCCACCCCCCTTAGCCTCTATGTACAGCAAACAGTAGTGGGGGACAAGGGCAGGGGGTGCCTCAGCAGCGTTTAATGGAGGAAATCTTGGTAATCTTAAAAAGGGAATCCAAGAAAGCATAGAGCTAAGCCACAATGCAGACTCTGTGCAAACCTTGGTCCCCTCCCAACCCCGACTTCCTCTTCTCTCCTGCTGTCCCCCTGGCTGGTTCGTTGCAGCCAATTCTTTAGGGGGTGGGGGTACCTGAAAATGAACGAAGCTTTTTGCAAAACTTTGGGCAACATCTGAGAAAAGAAAGAGGCATCGCTACAGAAGATGCCCAGGACTCAAGTCACAAAGTCGTAACCCATGGCCATCTCACCTCCACAGTAGGCCTGGAGGCTGGGGACCGGGGGAGGATGGGGACTGACCTACCAGCCATTTCTCTCCAGAGTGGAGCTACTGGAGCAGACGAGAGTGGGCACTTCAGAATCCTCCTGAGAGTGTTTCTGGATCGGGAGACATGGCCTAGAGAGGGATGTCCCCAAAGCAGGGCAGGGTGAGGGGCAGCGGAGGGGGGCCCCTCATCCCTGCACAAATGTGAAGGAGACCAGCCCTAGTGCGCTGGTTTATCTGTGGGGTGATGGAGGGCAAGGCCCAGCATAGCTAGCAGAGTGGAGGCTGCTGGGCATCGTGCACGCCTGAGCTTGGGGGGCACTGGGTTAGATTTTTTTCACAAACTGGTGAAAAAGGCAGAAGTAAGCCAGCCCAGCTGGGCTGGCTGATATCATCCCTGGGGGCTCTGCCAGCTGAACTGGTGAGGAAGGGGTTTCATGGGCCTGTAAGCACCGGCCTAGGGAGGTGTGAGGCATGCAATGGGCGAATGCGGGGGTGGGGGTGGGGGTGGGCAGGTGTCAGGACCTTGCTTCTCTCTCCAATCTCTACCTCTCAGCCAGAACGTGGCCAGAGACCCTGATCTCTCTCCCATTCCTCTCCTTTCCCCGGATGTGCTAAGGTCCCCGTTCCCAGGCCCCTCCCAGGACTCAAGAATTGGGATAGTCAAGCAACAAACACACAGCAAGACAGGCTTCCCTTGTACAGGAAAAAGGGTCGTTTTTATTATGTTTCCTTTTTTGGCTGATAGTAGTGATGTATGTTTTGTCATGTCTCATTTAGAGCAGTGGTGGCCCCCATGCATTCACTAATACACTAATCCTCACTATTGGTCTGGCACAAGTTTACGTTGGTTGCGGCAGAAAATAAAAGAACTCTGGGCACTGTCGCTCCAGGGGCTTTGATTGGGAGTTTCTATTTAACTCTCCCAGGTCAACTTCTGGTGCCAAAAGAGGCCCATTCGGCGAGGGGTGGGAGTTGGACATGCTGACCCCCGTTTGTTCCTGCTCTCGCCCTCTGCTTTAGATTGTGGAGTCTCCTCATCCTAAGTAACAAAGAGATCAAGGAAAGAGGGGGAAAGTGTTTTTCCACACAAACCAGCAACTGTGTCTGCTGCTGCTCAGTGGCTTTGGCTCTGCATTTTAAATGAACAGCATCACGCATGTCTTTTTGCTTTTTGTCCTTTTTTAAAGGTGGATTGTGGAGTATAAATACTGCACCAAGGACCTGGCTACAAAAAATAAATATTTATATTATATTTATATATCTATATATATATATATGTGCAGTGATACTGTGGCTGCTGCTGCTTTTTGATTGGCTTCGTTAATATTTGGCAAAGCGTTGCCGCTTACCCACTCAGTGAAGACGTACAGAAACGTCACCACTGATTCTCTCGGTTCAATGCCTGTTAACTGCGGGTGTAAACTGCTGGTGATGGTGTCATTTACTACCAAAGAAGTGTGGAGCAGGGCAGGTGAGTGAGTGAGAGTGGTGGGTGGGTGGAGGGACGGTGGGGAGGAAAAAGATGGTGGGAAAAGTCTGAAGAAAAAAAAAGTGAAACTTCAAATAGAGTGGTGGTGGCGTCTTTCCTGTGAAGCTGGCTGATGGGTGTCAGATACCAAGGCCCGCGTGTGCCTGAGGAGATAGCCTGCTGGGCTGGGATCGGGTCTGGGGGGAGGGAAAGGGTCAGATATCAGAAAAGACTCATGAATATGTTCTAATAGCTTAACGGTATCGTTAGCATGAGCACTTGGGGTAGCGAGTGGGACCTTATAGCTCTCTTGCCCATCTCAATCCTAAGAAACAGTTATGAAGTTTAGCCAAATCTTGCATAGAAGTGGTTAGAATTTATTGCACATTGGAACAAAAATATATATTTGTGTTGTTTTTGGAAAAGACCATTAGCAATAAAAAATTTTTTGTCTGTCTGTCTGGTTTGGGGATGTACATTGGCTGACAGCATCTAAGTTCTAAGAAAGAAAGGAAAGTATAAAAAATAAAAATAAACATGACAATGGCATAAGCCAGAAGCCATTTCCTATTTAATACGTTAATAATTGTGTATTTACAAAAAGGCATGCCAATAAAATAAAATGATATATTACAGTATTTATAATTCTCTTAAAAAGAATAACCACACACGTCAGCTTCTGTTTTGTGCTGTTTACGATGTAACCTGTACACGATACTATGCATTCATCCTAGCGGTTAGCAGCGTCACCTAAAGAGATGCCTTTTCAACCTCGTATTGGGCGTAGTACGAAAGTTCCACGGTGGTGCCACAGAAGCAGGCTTACGCGAGCTGGCCCGCATCTAATGGTCCAGCAAGACAGAAAGCTCTGCTTCCCGGCTCGCTGTGGTTTGTTCTACGCCAAACTAGTCAGGTGGACATACATCCAAAGTGCGTCTACTGCAAGGCAGATTGGTGTGTCTGATTATGGGTTCTTTTCCCCCCTCGGTTATAAGGTTCAGGGAAAATTCATTTTGATTTGGTTAGCAAGCGAAAGTCTCTCCTCATTCTTTGTATAGACTTCCTGACACATTCAACTGCAGCATCTTGGCTTTAAAATCTAGTCATCAGACAAGAAACCCCTGGGCTACTAAAAACTGTCTTCCCTAAAGCAGGAGATGGAATGAGAGAGAGGACGCTCCCCACAAAAGCCACTCTCCAATGGCAATGAGCAGGTTGCTAAGCAGATAGCAAAACTGGCTGGAAGGGAATGCGCTGGGGGAAGCTGGAACATCTTAAGAATAAATACTAAGTTGTTTTCTCGTGAGAATCAGTGCAATAAAGAACCCAAGTGGGCCTGGTTCAGAGGAGGCGCCATCACTACCTCAGATCCCACCAGCGATGAGTTATTCTAACAGGACGTGAAAGAAACCACAGCCATAGCCCCAGTGCTGCTGCCCTCACCCACCTCTGTGGGCAAGGGAAGCCCTGCTCGGTGGAAAATGTGAGGGAGGTGAGAGGAATCATGCAGTGTGTGAGCTTGGGACAACCCCTCTGCAGAAGGGAGGCCTGTTCAGAACGTCTGAACCCCTCTCCGCGTGGACCCGAGCCCAGAGGAAGCCACATGCAGAAGGACGTGATACCAGATGAAGTGAGCACCCTTCACCCCCAACGAAAGGTGTTGTAAGTTCCCCAAATTACCCCCTAGAGATAACATACTACTTTGAATAGCATGTTTACCTCTATCCCAAATAAATGTCAGTTCTCTAGATGAACTTCTGATTTTTGTTTTTAGCCCTAGGATTTGGTTTTACAGTGACATTATTAATACAAGCCATTTGAGATCAAAATTTCCCCACGTACGGGACACAGAGCAGCATTAAACAGTTCATCTTTCAAAATGTGCAACAATGGCTGTAAGAGATGTCTGTTAAACATATACACACACGGATCCATCTGCTTGTTGGATTGGGTTTGTTTTTGTTGGACGTGGTCAATTGGTTGGTTATGTTTCCCTATCAGGTGTATGAAAGGCTTCTAAGAATTCATAAAGAATTATGGTGGGTATGGAACTCTTACCATTTTTTTTCCAAATACAGTGAACGGTGCAGGGCTGGGTCCTATTCGAAGGCTGACCCAGTGCAGGGGACAGGATGAGCAGCGTCCTGTGGTGTATGGTTCTCATGCATGACTTCTGATCACGGCATGCCATCATGCAAATCATTTCCACGCATTGAACGAGCACAATGTTTGGAATCGGCCTGAGCAAGTCCTCCTCAGCCTGAAGAAACCTGATTGTTTGCCCCCACCCATCTCCAAACCACGTGCAGCCCATGTGGAGAAGATGCGGTTTATGTCAAAGAAACTGACAATTAAATGACATGGGCTAAATGTGAGTGTGAGTGTGTGTGTGTGTTTTCTTTTGCTGCTTAGCTTAACTAATGTAGGAATGCAAATATAGTTTGCATGAACAAACGAACTTTTTAAAGTGATGCTTTCTGCTTCTGAGAATCAACAAAATGAAAAAATAAGATCCATTTGGCTGCAAGGGAAATATGCTGGTCCCGGCAGCCTCTCCTCTGTTTTTGTGTCCTGTTTAGTTTTGTCCTAAGTTGCATTGACTGATGTGGAACATGCAGTAACCACCTGCCCAAGCGTTAGAAAATCTGTGAGTCAGGGGGCAGGGTCCTTTGCCCTGGGCAGGTCACTGCTCAAGATGCAACCATGTGACATGGTAAGCAGACTACGTTTGGTATAGATCGTCAGGGTAAAGTGTCTCCACAGCTGTTCTGCACTGATAATATTCAGGAAGTTTGTAAACAATCTTTCACTTGCACATTTTAAGTCTGTACAATATTAAATTTTCGCTTTCCTCTAACACTTGGATTCTCTGACCTCTTTTTGTCTTTTGGCTTTTTCCCTTCTTCCTTCCTCTGCCCGCTGCTGTTTCTCCTTCTCAGGTTTAGTCACACTGTCATAGGATGGGAGGGAGGCAGTAGACGGGGTGCTCTCCTTCTTCTCCGGGTGTGTGCCTCCATTCTCCAGCTTGTTGGAAGCTATCTTTTTGCAAATGAAGCCCCGCCTTGCTAAATGTCCCCGGTAGGCGCGCTGCAGGACCACTGCCGACACCTCCTCCTGCTTGCGCCGCAGTGTGGTCGTGATCGGCTCGTAAGACACTTTGGAAGGATTGGATGCCACGAACCGCTCCTCCATCTGCTGTCGAAGGATGTCCAGCTCCCCGCTGTCTCCCAGGACCCGCTTGGTGAAGGCAAAAAGGATGTCCAAGCAGTGGATGCGGTCCCCGCTAACCATGGGCAGATCCATGGCAATGAGCTCAATGGTGTTGGGCTTGGGCACTCGCAGAGGATGCTCCAAGGCATCTGCGAAGTCTGCCAGCTTACAGTACTCGATGAACTGGGTGGCGTCGGGGTCGAACTTCTCCCAGATCTCGTAGAAGGTCTCAAAGTCGTCCTCACTCAGAGGGTCTGCACTTTCCTCGGTGGCTACACTGAAGTTCTCCAAGATGATGGCAATGTACATGTTCACAACAATTAGGAAGGAGATGATGATGTAGCTTACAAAGAAGAAGATGCCCACTGAGGGGTTCCCGCAGTCTCCCTTGAAGCCACTCCCGGGGTGCTCCTTGTCCAGACTGCAGTCAGGGGGGCGGTTGAGGATGGGCAGCAGCAGGCCATCCCACCCAGCGGAGGTTGTGATCTGGAACAGGCAGATCATGCTATTGCCAAATGTCTCAAAGTTGAACATGTCATCAATGCCAGCCTCGTGCTTCACATACGCAAAATTGGACATCCCAAAGATGGAGAAGATGAACATGACCAGGAAGAGCAGAAGGCCGATGTTGAACAGAGCAGGCAAGGACATCATTAAGGCAAAGAGCAGGGTCCGAATCCCTTTGGCGCCTTTGATCAGACGCAAGATGCGCCCAATACGGGCCAATCGGATGACTCGGAATAGGGTTGGGGAAACAAAGTATTTCTCAATTATATCCGCCAGGAACATTCCTAAGAAGAGGAATAGAAGAAGATATGTTACTGGGATTGGAGACATCCTTTGGTATAATGAAACCCTTAAGTTCAAAGGACTTTATAGAATGACTGCCTTACTATTTAATCTGAACTATCATGATAAAAAAGAAAATCACATTTCAAAGATATAAAAAAAGATAAAACAATAAAATAGACACCCATGTAGCTAACACCCAGATTTAAGAGACGCTAGCATTTCGCCAGATTTGCTTCCTCTTCATTCCCAGAAGCAACCACAGTCTTGAAGACAGTGTGTATCATTGCGGTGTCTTCATGATTTTGGCATGTATGGATCCATAAGTAATATATAAATAGCATTTTACATGCTTAAGGAATTAAAATATATCTCTTTTTAGATCAAATTTTTTAGATCTCTAACTTGCTTTTGAGACTTAACATTGTGAAATCTGGTGTTAAAATAATTTTAGATTATTCATGATAATGGTTGAAAATCATGACTAGGTCCTCATTTATCTGGTTTCCCACTCAAGGATAATTTGTTATTTTCAAATTTGTGCATGTATGGCTTCCTGAGGTGTTATCAATTCTTTTCCAAAATGCTATCAAATTTCCATATCCACAAACAGTAATGAGAGGTCCTCCCTCCACCCTGTGACTTCACTCCCTTTGGCTGTGATGTCTTAGTTATTCCGGTAATGCCGCCAATTTTCAAAGTGTCTTCTTCCTGGCTCTGGAAAGACATTTTGGTTTCTCATTGCCCCATGTCCATACCCCAAAGAATGAGTCTAGAAAACTAAAGAGACTTCTCATGAGTGGCGTTTAACTCAGCTTCTAAACTTTGAAATCAGTATCACCAGATAAAAAGGTCGAGACATTAGTAGGAAATAACAGTAGATGGTGAAAATGTGCAAACCAAAGGGCTGTGTTCTATTCACACTCAGCCAGCGGCCCATCTCCACCAGACCACCTGCTTTAAAGCTACAGAGCAATAATGGGAGCCCGACAAGGGCCACAGAAGGAAGAGCAGATGGAAAGGATGGGAACCTGCAGGGAAGACAAAGGTGTGGTCTCTTTCTTCAGTGCCTTCTGCTGTCGAGGCCCCAATGAGACAACACGGGCTTCAACTGACATGAGGGATTGACTTTAAGTTAAAATATGTCTTTCAACCATAAGGACTCATAAACATTGGGTGACAATCAGCAGAAGGCGGTGGAATCCCCTTACCTGAAGGTTTTAAGGTAGGTAAGCCTCTCAGGAAAGGACAAGAGGCAAGAAGTTCAAAGTAGGCCAGGTAACCTCTTGGGGTTTCGTCTGGAGCTAGAATTCCATGGGTGTTTGAACTTTCAAGAAAACCTCTACCTCATCCAGGACCCAAATCGCTACATCAGCTCTCTTCTTTTCACTTCTCAATTAAGCCATAACCAGTGGCCATAAGAAGTCAGGTAACATATGTAATACTTGCATTCCATGTATGGTGGCCAAGTAAGGCTTCAGAGAGAAGATGCCTGAGCGATGTTTTGTAGGATGAATGTCTATTTGTCCCCAGAGAATAGGAGAGAGACGGGGCAAACAGCAACCCAGGCAGCAGGAACACCATTTACGGGGCCTTTCAGGAGGTTCCGGGGCTAGTTTCACCCCAGATCCTCTTAATTTAAAAAGATAATTTCTATACTTTCATTTCTGAGCAAATTAATGATATCTAATAGAAACTCCAATCATTAAAATCTATTTTTTTAAAAATATATTTTATTGATATTTTACAGAGAGAAAGGGAGAGAGATAGAGAGTTAGAAACATCGATGAGAGAGAAACATCGATCAGCTGCCTCCTGCACATCTCCTACTGGGAATGTGCCCGCAACCCAGGTACATGCCCTTGACCGGAATCGAACCTGGGACCTTTCAGTCCGCAGGCCGAAGCTCTATCCACTGAGCCAAACCGGTTTCGGCTAAAATCTATTTTTGAGAGCAGGGGGCACGGTCTTGTCTGCGGGTTTTCCGTCCCACTCAGTGATGGGGGGGCAGAAAAGGGTTGAGCACAGTGGAAAGGGCAGCACTGTTCAATGCGTGCTCGTGGGAGGCTGAGAGTCTGGACCTGAGGCTGGGCGCTGGGCTTGAATCCTGTTTGCTCACTTACTAGTCCCATGTCTCAGTAACTGCTCTGTGCTTGCTGATACTTACAGGGCTGTTGTACGGGCTATAAATTAAAACATGCAAAGCACGTGGAATGGTGATCAGCACATACTAATTCCACTAAAATGTAAGGTATCATTATTATAACTTGAAAAAGATGTTGTGATCAAAGAAAAGTGGGATGGTGTATTAAACAGTTCTTTACTGCAGGACTTCCAGGAGCCTTCTAGAGCAGTGATGGCGAACCTTTTGAGCTCGGCGTGTCAGCATTTTGAAAAACCCTAACTTAACTCTGGTGCCGTGTCACATATAGAAATTTTTTGATATTTGCAACCATAGTAAAACAAAGACTTATATTTTTGATATTTATTTTATATACTTAAATGCCATTTAACAAAGAAAAATCAACCAAAAAAATGAGTTTGCGTGTCAGAGGTTCGCCATCACTGTTCTAGAGACTACTGTGCTCTGTGACCCTCACCAGGGAAATTCACTGTACAGTGTTGCCCAAAGTAATTTCATCGTGGGATTCTTTTACTGGGGAAGAGATGGATGATGGGATTAGTGTTCCATGTAGCAACACATATTTGGACATGCTGCCCCTGAGGACAGAAACTAGAAAGTGGCACAGGCCCAGGTGAGTGCCGCCTCACTAAACCAGCCTGGCCACCAGAGCTCTGGAACTGGTCCCCATGGGGCTCGGGCGCTCTCTCTCTGCTAGCCTGTCAGACCTACCGAGGCAGTGTTTCACCACTCAGGGTGCCTTTTAGGAAGGCAAGGAATCGTTCTGAGAGGGCAAGCAATAGGACAGCATTTCCTCTGTCTGCCAGAACAGCACCCCTTTAACCTTTAGGTGAAGCAAAACGCCACACAGCTGCTGTTAAAACACCAACCTGAGTTCTGCTTCTGCTACCTCTGAGTTGAGTGACCTTCATGTCTTTACAGTGAAGGTAATAAAATAGCCCGCTTCCTGGGCTGTCATAAGGTGACACATGGGCTTAAGCGAAGAGCGTGACCGGCCTGCACCCCAGACCTGCGTAACTCGTTGCTCTCCCAGGAATCTTGTCCTCAAGGCCAGTCAGATGCCCATCTCCCTTCCCGCCTGCCCCACTCACCCACAATGGAGAGGATGACCACCACGAAGTCGAAGATGTTCCAGCCAATGGTGAAGTAGTAGTGCCTCAGGGCAAACATTTTGAGCACACACTCACAGGTGAAGAAGATGACGAAGACCAGGTTAATCCAGTAGAGGATGTTCTCCATCTGCTTGCTCTGAGTGTCTGTCTCCACCATCATTGTCACCATGTTAAGGCAGATGAGCATCATGATAACAATGTCAAAGGCTTGTTGAGTGACAAAATCAAAGACGATACCTTGGATTTTGTTCTGGGGTGGGGAGAGGGGAAAGAAAGAAACGAAGGATTCATGAAAGCCTTTCTAAGCAGGCTGTGGTTGCCATCCTGTTGATCAGAGTGCGCTGCTTTCTTTCTATAATACCAGCCAGCTCGATCCTGCTGCTCTCTCAGGAGAGCAGGAACATGGACAGACCCCAACATCAGTATCACTTCACCTAGAGTTTTCGAAACTGCCACTCTTTTCTTTTGCATCTATGCCATCGCACAGGTCTAGATGTCTCCCCACCTTTCCAGCTGCTCCTTTTCAGTCTCATTTGCCAACCGTTTCTTCTCTTATTTAATCTCTTCTTTCTCTATGCTTTCCCCTAGGAGAGCTCATATATTCCTACTGCTTACACAATATCTATGTTCTTAGTTTCCCAAGGTCTTCTCAGCCCATATCTTCCCTCTGAATTCCTGTGTTGCTACTTGCTATCTCTCCTTGATGACGTAAGCATCTCCAACTTAACAAGCCCAAAGCAGAACTAAGTCCTTTCCCTGCCCCTCACCAAACTTGATCCTCTCAACGATCCATCCAGTCTCTAAGCCAGAAATTGGAGAGTCATCCTTGTGTCTTTCCTCTCCCTCATCCCCCCCATCTAATCCATTGCAGGTCCGACTGATTCTTTCTCCAAAAATATAGCTTGAATTCATCCACTTCATTCCACTTCTGTTGTCCCTATTCTAGCCTAAGCTATCAGCATCTTTCATCCGGACTTCTAGAAGAGTCCCTGATTGGTCTTCCTGCTTCCTCTTACCCGCATCCAACAATCTCCACACAGCATCAAGTGTGATTATTTAAAAACATAAATTAATCACATAATTTTTAAAAAATATATTTTTATTGATTTCAGAGAAGAAAGGAGAGGGAGAGAGAGATTAAAACATCAATGATGAGAATCACTGATCGGTTGCCTCCTGCACACCCCTACTAGGAATTGTGCTCGCAACCCAGGCATGTGCCCTTGACAGGAATCAAACCCGGGACCCTTCAGTCCCCAGGCTGATGCTCTATCCACTGAGCAAAACCAGGCAGGGCAATCATATCATTCTTCTAGTTACAACCTTTTAGTAGTTTCTCATTGTGCTTGCAACAAAATTCCTATTGTTAACCTGGCTTAAAAATGCCTTTCACAGTCTGCCCCTTCTTCCAGCTCATCACCACCTGGCCACACTAATGTTTCTGGCTTTTAGGGCCTCATTTGCTTTTCCAGGATCTCTTTCTCCCATATTTTGGCTGTTTCTCACCACTCAAGTAGACCCTCCTTAGTGAGGCTTTCTCTGACTACTCTTTTAAAGTAGATCTCCCCATCCTAAGCATCCATTCTTCTCTGTCATGGCCCTCCAGTTAATTTTTTCTCACAACAATGCACATTTTATAAGAGCTGTTTGCTTATTTATCTCTATCCCCACTATATAATGTAATCTCCATGATAGCAGTGTCTAAATTTTGGTATCACTTTATGTTTAGTGCCTGGTACATAAGTGACCTATAACCACAAGCTAATTGATATAAACAAGAGTTAAGTTCCCATGCATCTCATCAATGTTATAATGAAACCCACTGTTGAACAAAAGAATGCTACTGAAGGACCTGCTATATTTGCTGGAAGAGTGCTAATCACTCTTAATGCTTCTTACCACACTAAGTTTTTATATTTTAGTGTGGAAGAAAATGCACTCAGGTTCCCATGTACAAAGTACTGAACAGAACTTTAGAAATGTCAACCCTCTTCCATTCCTTTTGGTCCCATTTCTATCCCAGAATGGAAACGCTAACATCAAGGAACTAAAAACCATTCGTTTTCTTAAGTTCTCCCTGAGTGTTTTGAAAGTACTGAGGCCCTTGAGCTGGTGATTACTTTCAGGATTACTTTAACTTGGTGTTTTCCAAGCAATGAAGTTCTGCAAAGCCCTAGGATTTCCTTTCTCTCAGAATTTGGTGAGGCGAGTATGCCAGGTGTGGCGGTGAGTAGGGAAAATACTCTGGAACTCCCACTCTTGATTAAAACAAAGTAGCTCTACTATTATTTTTACAAAAGAAGTTGCCAGGAAAGCTTCTATTTTAAGAGTTCTGCTGTGTGTGTGTGTGTGTGTGTGTGTGTGTGTGTGTGTTACTTTAAATGCAAGTTACAGAAGAAGGAACTTTGAGCCTGGTCTTTGGGGGCCACGGGCATCAGGAGCCTCTGCTCTGAAGCAAGAGGACAACCACCAACAGAAGGTAAAGCAGAATCCCAGGCCCCAGATCTGCTTTACAGAAGGCTCAGTTCAAGGAGGAGACCAGGACATCAGACTCTCCTAGTTTCACTCTCTTCTGCTCCCACAAATATCCGGAAGCACTATGTTAGCTTCTAGGCACAAGGCTGACCTGTGGGGTAGAGGGTTGAGGAAATGATGACTAAACCTATCTCGGACTGGCAGGAAAGAGATCAGCTTTCATTTCTCCGTCCTCTGTGAATTTTTAGCTGCCTCTTAAACATTTCTCTGGCAGGGCCAGAGCCAATGTGGTTAACATGCCAATTTCCTGCTGCTGCCCAAGGAAGGCCCAGAGGCAAGGTCAAGCTCACATGTAAAAGCCATCCCAAACCTTCATCCCTGTTCTTGTGCCATTCTCCTCAGATCTTCTGGATGCGGTGAGTAGGAGACGATGTGAGGACACAGGCAGCCCATCACTTACCCCTTTCCTTCCTCTGAAGTAACCCTACAGGTGTCTGCTTCCATATGGGGCCTCACTCTGCCCAGGGCCTGTACAGTGCACTCACCAGGGGGCGGGGAATGGGTTTCTGTGGTTTCTTCGAGCCCAGCTTTTTCATGGCATTGTAGTACTTCTTCTGTTCTTCAGTCATGAAGATGTCCTGACCTCCAAAGTAAAGGAGGGAAGAAGAGAAGCAGCAATTACAACCGGTTCTCAAGTGTTATGGCTTTGGAACCTAAGGTTCAAAATTGGGAACTGGGAGACACTTATCCCCCTTCCTCTCCCGAGGTCAGTTCAGCTAATGGTTGTCCCAGAGTGAGGCAGACCTGGGACAACTACTGTAATTCAAAGAGACCTGCCTTTGTTTCAGCTTGGGTTTCCTGAGCTCTGCAGGAAGGAAGGAAATGAACAACCCAATTACAGACTCTCAGGGAAGGTAACCTTGAGAGCAATGGCTTTGAAGATAGTCACATCTCAGGATTCCTAAATTTTTTTGGGGGTGGGGGTGGGGGGGCCTGCTTTCTTGACAAAAATCGAGGGAAAAGACATTTTAAAATAAAAGGATTTTCAAGTCCTGGCTAATGGCCCATTTATTTCTAACAATATTAAAAATATAGAAATTCTGATGCAAGAAAACATTCCTTGGAGTTTGTTGGGATGGACTTGATTTATAAAATGAGTAACAAGTAATCTTTTCAATTTGCTTTGGAAAATTATTAACCATCTGGGACAAGTAAGGAAGTGAATTTTCTAAGGATGGCCTCTCAATCCCAATTTGCTAGTAGTAGTACCCAGGGATTAATGTGGACAGTTACAAGTCTAGACAATTTCTACTTCTCACGGTAGCTATTCATTTGCTTCCCTTTTCACTCCTGTCACTAGACCCTCTCCTACCCTACTTCCCTCTGGTAGGAGACCACAACCAGTAAAAGGTCTCAAGAATAAGACTGCTAGTAAATGTGGTAAGCCACACACTGAAATCCAGCCCTCAACAGGAAGAGCTGGTTGGGGCTATTGTGCAGTGGGGCAAGTGCCACAGTGACGTGACAGTATGGATTTTAGAGGAAGAAAGGTGTTCCCTCTCTCGAGATAGGGTCAGAGACACAGAGAGCTACGCCCTCATCTGGGTGGACCTCTGACCACTGGCAATGAGGGGAGGAGACCTATCTTTTTCTTTTGTTGATTGAAGTTATCAATGATGACACCAATGAACAGGTTCAGGGTGAAGAAGGAGCCGAAGATGATGAAGATGACAAAGTAGATGTACATGTAGATGTTGTCCTCATACTTAGGCTGCTCTTCAGGCTGTCAAAGGACAGGAGAGAAAGGAAGAGGGTCAGCTCCTCACCTGGGGATCAGGTGGGCAGTTCTGACCTGCCAAGGCCATCAGCCATAACTGACCACTCGAGCTGCTGAACAGGCTGGGAAGGGGGAGCCCTAGGTTCTCTGTCTCCTTCACGGTGGAGGCCCTGCCCTCAGAAGACATTGTTCCTGCCATGCCTTAGGTCAGCGGTTCTCAACCTGTGGGTCGCGACCCCTTTGGGGGTCGAACGACCCTTTCACAGGGGTCGCCTAAGATCATCGGAAAACACATATATAATTACATATTGTTTTTATGATTAATCACTATGCTTTAATTATGTTCAATTTGTAACAATGAAATTGGGGGTCACCACAACAGGAGGAACTGTATTAAAGGGTCGCGGCATTAGGAAGGTTGAGAACCACTGACTTCGGTGGAGAATATGCAAATCATGAGGTGAGAGGCTGTCTGCTAGGAGCCACACTTATTTCAAAGCAGCACTGAGGAGCAGACAGCCCAGTGGGCAGGCAGCCTGGTCGTCTAGAGTCAGCGTAAGAGAGTGATGACTTACTGAGAGGAGCCAAGTGTCCTATAATCAATAAGACAAGCAACAAAGGTTCCAACCCCCCCTCTCTTTCCTGATGAGATCCACCATGCTGCTCCTGTCCTAGCCATCTAGGAAGGTTGTGGTTTCATCAGGTACATCCTTACCTTTCGGGAATCTACAGCTGCGTACATGATGTCCATCCAGCCTTTGAAGGTTGCCTGGCAAACAGAGTCAGTCATTAGACTGTGCCTGTGAGGGGGTGGGTGGGAGCCTAAGCAGTGGTCCAAGAGGTCAGGCTTAGGTTCAGTGAGAACACAAACAGGGAGACTGAGTGTAGCCTCACGTGGACATACACCTTTTCTGTTTATTAATACACGTCCCAAGGGAGCTTTGTCTACGTCCCTTAAAATAACATCAAAGTTTGGCAGAGAAACATGTTGACAATGGTAATTGGATCAATAGTTTTACAAAAGGTCTTAAAAGCGGGCCTGAGAAGGTTGCCCAAAGCTGGGGGAAACTCATATTCATGAATGAATAGCATGAATCTACTGAGGGTACTTAGAACTTGGAGGAATCATTTTTTAAAAGGTGTTAAACAAGCAATTGGCTCTGGAAAATTCATAGCTGCATTAAAAAATACAACAAAAAACCTAAGTCAGAACTACTCCTTTACCAATACATACATGTATAGCCTACGGTAGTGGCAATACTGGCTTCACCCTAGGCAGCCCCTTCCCAGTTCTGTTTCTCAACCTAGTACACCTAGCCTGATTTTGCAAACAAATATGGGTGACCAACTACAATTCTCCATGTTTTGCTCACATTCTATGTATGTTTTATTTACTTAACCAGATTCTACGTTTTTTCAGGGTGTGGGCAGCTCTTTATTCGTTTGATGGCTCTAGCAGTGCCAAGCACAGCACCTGGCATGTGGTGGGGACAGTGAGTATAACGTTGGACTGGCTGGTGGATATGCATTGGTCTCCTGGAGCTGCTCCAATTAAAATTCAATTTGCGGGTACAATTTCTTGAACTGGGATAGAACAACGAGAGTACTTTGGAATGAAATGAACTACTGCTCATCCCCTTAACTCTGCCTCCTACTACCAGTTAGCAGTAAGTGCTTAATATGTAAGACTGTGTTGAGAGCTCCACCTGCATAATAGCATTTAATACACCCAACAACTATATGATGTAGACAGTTGTACTAGTAACAAAATACATCATCGCAAATACCATTATTAAGCACTGCTATATGCCAGGCACTGTGGTAAGAAATTTGAGTAAATTATCATGAATCTTCCTGACAACCATACATGGTATTATTATCCACATTTAATAGAGGAAGAAACTGACTCAGAGAGGTTAGGTAATTGTCCAAGATGACATATCCAATAAATGAGTGTGGCTCAAACCTACATCAGTCTGATTCCAAAGCCTAGGAACTTTCATTGCCTCACACAGTCCTATAAAACATCCCCAAAAACTGGTAAGAGAGGAAGAGGAGGCTAGGCATAATGGCATGTTACCTGATTACAATAAACCCTTTCTCACTGTGATACACTGAGACCTTCCTCTGGGGCTGACCTGAGTGGCAGCAACATTGCACGACCATGTTCTTTCCTTTAACTTCAGTGCAGGCGTTATGGAGAACTGTTCCACTCCATCAAACTGCCCTCACTTTTGTTTGTTTATGCACTCATCTTCATTTTTTCCTTTTTCTGTAACTACACACTTGCACTGGAGAGAGAAGGCGATTGCTCTGCAGCTTTATTGTGCTGCAGGAATCTCTGTTTGTGGCTGAGCTTCAGAGCAGCAAGAGCTCCTTGGAGTGAGGTCTTGGAGAGGTCAGAGTACGCGGGGAACGTGTCTCCCTGGAACTAGTTTGAGGAATGACCCAGGGCTGGGTGACCTATTAAGAATCATCTTGATTCTGGAAGCAGCGGGGAGGGGGAACCACAGAAGATTTCTGCTACCCACCTGAATTTCATAGGACAGAAAACATAACAATACTTACCACCTGAAGAAGCGCCAGGTATCCTGCCCCAACGTTGTCAAAGTTGATCTTCACGTTCTTCCATCTGATTTCTGTATTGTTCCCCTCCATGAGCTTTTCACAATCAGTTTTATTGTTGACAATTTCAATTTCAAATCGTTCTTCCGAAGTCTCATTAAAGCAGTAGTGGTACTTTCCCGCAAACAGGTTAACGCCCATGATGCTGAAAATCAGCCAGAAGATGAGACACACCAGCAGCACATTCATGATGGAGGGGATGGCGCCCACCAAGGCATTCACCACCACCTGCATTGGAAGGGGGAGGTTGCTGAGTGGGGGAGGAAGTACGGGCAAACACACTTTTTTTTTTTTGATTTCCAGGAGGGGAATGACATTGTGTGGCTTGTTCTGACTACAGAAACATTATGTCCCTTTTGAAATTAGGGTAACTGGAGAGGTCCAGAAGTAGGACCAAAATTTTCTAAATCGATGAAATACATTTGGAAGGATTCTAATAAATTACATATTTATTTCATCTAACACAAATCCCCTGCCCATGTTGACCTAGTCTTCCCTCCTAGGTATCAACCTGGACCAAAAACATTATTTTAGTCCAACCTCCCTCTCATAAAACATGCCCCAAGGGAAAATCTGACAGATCTCAAGCTCACAGGTTGCCTTTCAACAGACATTCCCCCTCTGCAAAACAAGTGTGACTTTTTAAAAATCACAGAGAATCACCCTTTAGGGTTAGCAGTGAATCAGTCAACGGTACATAAAGTCTCTTTTATGACTATGCAAGGCCAATTATCTTAACTTCAGGCAATAGCTGAGCATGCATATTTTGCAGGCTCAAGAAAAAAAAAAAGCTATATTCCCTCTACCAAACAGTATACAATAAAATCTGCACAGATGTGTTTTTCATACATGATTCCTTTTTCTTCCTCAGCTTCTTCTTCCTGATTTTGTAGGTTCCTGGATCTAAGTCACCCCTTGCTTGGCTAACACTGATGTCTCCGCTCAATCCAAAGCTTGACTGGACTCTTCACATAGGATTGGCAAGTTTTTTGGGGGGAAAGTTTTGGGTTAGATCACTGCTCTTAAAACCCAAAACTGGCATCTTGTTAAAAATCACTGACTATAGTGGGCTGAGGAATGAGAAAAAAAAGTAAAGGGGGGGAAAAATCCCCTCAGGAATCTAAGTTTCTGGGTTGTTTTAACTTTGATTTTGCTTCACACTGTACGTGAGGGTAGCTAGACAACACGTCCACTGTGGCAGCAGTTTTCACCTGAGGAGCTCAGAGTGCTTATAAAACAGCATTTCAGACGGTGAGACAGAGGCAAGGCTGGCGTTCATTTCTGCCCTGATTCTTACTTGCTGTGGTCCTAAGTGGGGCTGCCGAGGCCCAGAAAGGGGACTCTGAAATGGGAAGAATGCGTCTTCCTTTTGCTGGTATTCTAGGAGAATCAGTGGAGCTAAAATGAATATAAGTGAAGTCTTCCAATATTTTGTTAGAAGGCGGTGACAACTGTCACCATGACCCTGCAGCTTTCGGTGCGGAGAGGAGACAGCTCAGGCTGCCAACTAGCACCGCACCCAGAGGGCCGAAAGCACGATGCCCTGCGGGAACACCGGGCAGCGCTGGGCTCTAACCGGAGCCCGGCGTGGGTCCAGGTTTTCCTTATGTCCCGCTTTTGTCTTCGGTTGCGTGTCACTCATTGGAACACATGGCTGAGAAGCGCTGTCTGTTCTGACCTATATAAAAAAGGCAATGACATTCTGTGAAGGATCACTCTTCCTCAGATTAAAATACTAGTTTTGTGTTTCTCCAAATCACACATGAAGGCCTTTAGACTGAGAGGCAGTTATTTCTTAATTCTCAGACCAAGAAATCTCTTCAAGATCCAACAGCTCTGTCATTCGTATAAAATCATTGTGTTTCAACCATTTATCACATGGAGCAAGGAAAGCCAGAATATCTGAAATCTGAAAAATCCTCAGTGCTATTTTAGAGACTGATATTCATATTTATTTACTTGTGACCACATGTGTCAGGTGATCAGATCTGAATTTTACCTCCTCGTTTACAGTTGCTCACCCTTTGGTGGGAGCACCAGAAAGCAACGAGATGTGCTCAAGAACAGGCACAAGGAGGGGATCCCACAACAGGAATAATCATTTCTCAAACAACAAGAGGTTATGCAGATTCAAAAGTGAGGTCTCTGTGACAGCGTCTGCCGCAGAGCTTAGGTGAGAGATCACAACCTTCTACTGGATCCTCTCAAGTAGGCCACAGGGAAGAAGGCTCCCAAAGATCTGAAACCTAGAAATAGTGTTTTTAAAACCTCAATTCAGAATCAACCTCCTCTGGGAACTCTCCTATTGTAACCCAGCCTAATCTGTCCTACATAGTGTCTTTGTGTCACAGCTGAATATGGTGTAATATTAACAGCAGGAAAGAATAATTAGCTAATTGACTAAGTGATCTTTTCACACTTTTATACTCAAAGATTGATCAAAGGAATCAATACACAGAACTATTTACTGAGCCTTGTTCTCAGACATGTGCAACATAAAAATCCTATGAAATCCAATGTACTTATAAGATGGAGACATATTTTCATTTATTAATCATAACCAAAGAGAAACTTCTTACCAAAGTTTTATGAATCAAATAGTAAACAGAGCTGATGAAATTTACTATTAATTCTTTCTGGCTATAAACAATAGCTGGTGAGCTGCGATATGTTAAGTAGAAGTTGTTTAATTGTGCTCCGTATATAATTGTGCTGATATTCTCAGCAAACAAAGGGTAAGAAACCATGCTTTGCTATTTTGAACTCTCACGCTATATAGATGGGTTATAAATGCGAATTCAAGTGTCCATGGATAGTCTCTTAATAAACTGAACCTTCTCTTCTGCTCTCTAATAATTCTCAAGAAATTCGTTATTTTTAAAAACTAGGTATAGAAATATTACTCAAAGCTAGGTTCTAACAATCTATAAAAAGCGACTGTTTTCAGTGAAAGTTTATACTTAGCAATTGATACAAATTTCATATAATTAATGAGAAAATGCCAATGAATATCAAATTTTACAGCATTTTTGTCATCTCTATGCCTAGAATATTACTGCTCAATTAAACACTATAAAATATGTCAAACAGCTTCTAATATCTGGCAGAGGGAACATGGCTTTAATGGACCACTATGTACTGACAATCAACAAAAATGCATGCATGTTTCATAGCATTACTCCTAAATGCCCTCAAATATTTAATAGCACAGCAACACCTTAAATGAAGATTACTATGGAGGAGAGAAAAACAAAGAACTACATCAAGTATTACTTTTCCAATAGCATGAATGTTTCAATTTTCTGGTCTTTGGTTTGAGGAAGAAGAGAGGAAGAGACTGAGGTCAGTGTCCAGGACAGGCTAGGGCTGTTTGTTCCCTCTCCAGTGAAGCTCTGAGCCTATCCTTGGAGCAGCACAGTGACAGTTGAGCCCATCTGCATTGTTAGTATTTGGTTCTTGAAAAGCTCTTAGTTAACATTTTCTAAGGGTAATCTCTCAAGTGTGGGCACACAACACAAGAACCCAAAGCAAGGAATTAAGGACATATGCCCCCATAGAAAAATAACACATAAAACTATAAATTCAGGCAAATTCAATATTTTTCCTTGCAGTTATTCTTCCACAATATAGGAATGGACCCGAGCCCTCTTCTCCTGCCCAACCAGAGATGTTGGCTGGAGTCAACCAAATGAGGTGACACTCCTATACCAGAGCTTCCTTAGCTCTACGTTTCTATATTGTTTGACATCCTAGCTTTGGGTTCACTTGTTCCTGCCCATATTTGAGAAAACCTTGATATACAAGTTCCTCTTTCCAATGCTTTTCCAACAAAACTTTCTACTGCTCTGATCATCCATTCTGGACCTCTGGCCTCTTAAACGTCCTTGAAAGCTGACAAGTAGAAGTTTTGGGGCAGTGGCAACTGCAGGTAGGAAAGGGGAGAAAGGGAGGGGCTAGAAGGAGGAGGTGTGGCCACCAAAAGGGCTCCCAGTGTCCGGATTATTCAAATAATTTCCTCCTGAGCAAGCTGGCACCAGCTTGTTTCTGCCACTTAATGAGCATCTGAGAAAGTTAGTAGCAAGTATCAGCTGGGCATTTTTTCTTGGGCTTTCTTCAGGTAACCAGTCTCATTTTAGGAGATCCAGGATCACTGTGGGCGAATGTAGAGGCTCCCAGGCTACTGGGCTCGGGTACAATGTTGCAAATATTGTTTTTAAGGGATTTTTTTTTTAATCCTCAGTTTTTTACACCACGGCCACCGAAAACACCAAGCCCTCGGCAGTAGCCTCTCTCCCTACATTTAGCCTGAGCATCACCACGACCTTATCACACATCCTGAAGCCTCTCTCATCTACGGGAGAAAGACTAAGAATCCCGAGTTTTGTTTTGCTTTTCAAGTTAAAATAGATTTATGCTGCTGGGGACTGGCCTTCCTGCAGATGTCTTTGGGTGGGTTGCAGAAAGCTGGTATTTAGTAAACCAAACTGTGACTGTGCTACAGAAAGAAACACAAATTTGTTGCAAAAAGCATTTGTGTGAATAAACTAAAATAATAAAATCCCCAAGCGCCAGTGAAATTTTCATCTTTCCATACAACCATGGGTGTCATCATAGAGTAGTTAGTGGCCAGGGGCACAGATGAGGAATGAATGAAGCAGCGCGGTCTAGTGTCTAGTTTCTCCAATTAGCCTGGCTTCGCGTGCGGACTACTGCGACGGTTTAATATTCATTCCTACATTCTGACATTTGCACATTGAAAAACACATCCTCTGGTTTGCTCTCCTGCATGTATTCAACATCTGAATGGAAATGAGGTTTCTTGGTCTCATTAAGTATAACAGACCTCTCTGATCACCACAGGACGACTGTTACCACCAAAAGCCTGTCGCCCACTTGGTTTTAGGACATTGACTTTTTAGTGTGTATGTGTGTATGTGCACATGTGTACATACACACACACTCTTTTTTTTTTTTTAAATCAAGAGAATCAGCAAAAAGGCACCTAAAGAGGGAGCCTTATTTCTAAATTGGCAGGGTGACAGCACCTTGTACCTTTTGGATTTGGGTGGAGTGTCACCAAAGCAGGAATAGCAGGTGTCAAGAAATTGAAGGAGAACTAGCTGATAATCATGTGGCATCGTACCTGGTTGCTCCTTTGACAGTGTTAGGACAGGGGACCACAGAGCGTGGGCAGAGGGGTAGGGGGTGAGGAGGAAAGCTTTGCTATCAGACAGAGGCTGCCAGTCCTTATGGGACTGGGCTGAGAACAACAAGGTGCAATAAGAGGAATCACAATACAAAGAAAAGCATTTCTTTCCCCAGGGCTGTGCCAAATTCCGCTCCGTCCCCATTCCAGGCCTGCCAGCTGTCTTCAAGCTCCTTCTCAGCTGCTTGCTGAGTGACTCCAAGGTCACAGTCCCCACCTGGCTGATGGCCCTACACAAGATCTCCCTACCTGCAGCCTCTGCTTTTCAGGGGGGTCTCTGGGTTACAATTCCCCTTCTTTGCACCTGGTGATTCTCCCTATTAAGTCAACAGCCCAGAAAGCTGCCCCAAGTGCTACAGGTAAGCCAGGCCAAATGAGAATAGCCAATGTTAACATGTCCTGCGATGGCATGTTGTTGGGGGCGGGGCCTTTATTCATGTGATGAGGCAGCTTAATGCAACTCTCCTCGCACGGGGCAGGTGCGGGGGAGAGAGTGGAGGATCAAAGAGCAGCTGCATCACAGAGTTGGGGTTTGAATGATCTTTCCACCATGTGATCAGTTCTAGCATGCTTAAACAGTTCCATTGGCATGCAGAAGGATCAGCGGCTCTCATATCTTACCCTCATCCCTTCAAATCGTGATAAGGCTCTTAAGGGTCTCAAAGCTCTTAGGGTCCTAAGGGACTTTATGGCACCTAGTTCCGAGTAGCCCAGGGCATTAGCTACAAGGCTGACTAAAGAGACCTACACGGAAACAGAAGAGAAAAACAAAAAAGGAAACACAACAAAAAGAAAAAGAAAACAGAGGTTCCAGAGTGTTAGAACAAAGCCCCTAGCACTGATCAGACAGGGTGGGCCCCCCAGGTAGAGGAAGTGGGTAACACCAGCTGCCTACTTCAACTTGGACTCAAACGACCTGGAAGGAAAGGTGGTTGAGAGGCAGAAGAAAAAACACAAAGGAAAGAGAAAATCGAGAGAGGGCGGCAGACAGACATACAAGTTGGAAAAGGGAAGAGGTTGAAGGGAGCAGGAGGGAATGAGGAAGTTCCATTGGAAGAAGAGGAGCCTGAACAGATGACAAAAACCTTACCCTCGCCCTTTACAGTCTCTGCAGGTCCCAGAAGTTCCCATTAAATTAAGCCAGACAAATTTAATGGTACCTATGGAAAAGAATACAGATAAATACACACACTCCGCACGGGCCGCCCCCTCCTCAGCTCTTTCACCAGGGACTTCCAACAAGGACAAGCTCTCTTACTCCTGGGTGACAAGAAACCATTTGTTGAAGAATTTGATGAGTCACTACATGAACAAAGGCAACATTCATAAGTACCACAGCTGACTTTACAGTTCCCACGGAGAAAAGAACCAGACGAAGAAACTTCTTGACAAAATTTTGAGTCTCTGAGAACTCACTTAAGTATAACTCTTCTATTTCTCATTTTTAACTATAACAATCCTTCCATCTTTTAACTATACCCATGACTCCTCCCTGGCCATGAGGACGTGGGTGGATCTGCACAACTGCATCCACACTTTTCCCTCTAATCCCCAGAACAGTCCACAGCAACCTGGCCTCAGGTCTGTCCTTTCCAGGCCAATCTTCTAGTTCCTCATCATTAAAATAACAGCTGGCAAGATCCTTGGAAGAATTTTTAAAATTTTATTTTATAGATGAGGAAACTGAGACCCATATGCCCAATACACAAGAGTTTGCCCGGGATCACGTCAGCAGCCCTGAAGCTAGGATGAAGACCCACACTTCCGATTCCCAGGCCGGAGCTCTTTCTTCCACAGACAGATGCCCTCCCGCACTGGCAGGTTGGGTTATAGGCATCCCAGTAGAGGACTGCAGGTGTCTGAACAGACCAAAGCTGAACATACTGGCATACTCAGGAGCAGCCTGCAGGCCCCCAGGCCTAGAGTCAGGGTTGAACGCTTTCCTGCTCTCCCAGAGCCCTCAGGGCAGTTACCATTATGATCCCTTAACGCTGGGTACTAAGTGCCTACACTTACAGCTGCGCCTGACCCGGGATCTGAAACACCTTTAGTTGCTCAAATCCTAGAATGGTTGGGCCAGGATTTCTTAGAGCAGTCTTTCCCTTGTTCTGGGATGGGTTAAGATGTTCCACCATGAGCAATTCTTAAATTCCCTCTGGTTACAGGTCTGCTCAGCCCGAATTGATATTTTAAAGCAAATTTAGAGGAGAAAAATAAACAACTCATAGCTTAGTTTCCTTTGTTGCTTTCCATCTCTATCTTAGGGATTTAATTCTGCATCTCTGAACTGCACCAAACTGTGTTGTTGTTGTTTTTAAATGAAGAGATTTATAATTGAGCAGCAGTACTGGCAGGGGGTAGAAGGAGGTCAATGACCGAGTGAGGGTCAGGGATGGGGAGCCTTAAAAGTTTCCATTTTAAAAAGGGTTGTAAACCTTTATCTACGCAAGTACTCATAATCCACCAATACAGGAATCTTCTCTGGATTCCTAGGTGGTGTCCAAAACAAATCCGGAATTAAATGCTGGCCTATCAGGCTACTCATGTTCTTTAAAAGGTACATAGTTCAGGGTTGAATTTCTGCCTAAGACAAGGGCCTCAAAGCCTTATCTAGAACACACTAGCAACAACCAATCATTTTCCTCCCATCTACCATGGTGGATAAGACATGGAGGTGTATTTTGCCCACCATTGCCAATTACAGTCAACTCTTAAACACATTTAAATAATAGGGAGAGAGATAGAAACCTCAATGATGAGAATCATTGATTGGCTGCTCCTGCATGCCCCCTACTGGGGATCGAGCCTGAAACCCAGGCATGTGCCCTGATGGGGAATCGAACCATGACCTCCTTGTTCACGGAGGATGATGCTCAACCACTGAGCCACACCGGCTGGGCTTGGCAAGATCTTAATAGGTAAGTCTGAAGGTAAGCTGTCCCATCCCAGTCAAGTGCCTGAGTTCTAAATACCCCTTATCAGCTCTGTCCTGTGAATCTGCCAGGTAAAGACGGCTGAAGGCTAAGCTTCCAGCGGCTATTGGCCCCATACAAAGCGAGAAGACCTCCTGCTCTTTTTTGGGGGGAGTGGTGTGAGTATGATTTATCTGATAACAAAGAGGACTAAAGTGGGGAGGAGGTACAGATGCCAATCCAGAGGTTGGCTCTAAACATTGTTGAGAGATAATCTGCGCTTGACTGATCAATCTGGCCAAGATCTCCCCAGGAAGATAGTAAGGATCCTAGCGGGGTTATTCCTTAGTAGCTGAGGACTTTCTTATAACCCTCCGAGCCTCCCTGTTAAACTCTCAGTGGAGATAGTGAGAACATTGCTCAAAGTATACTTTAAGGAAAGAACCAAACCTGAAAAAGGAGTTGAGAAGTCAAAATTCAGATTACCGATGGCTGGAGGCAGGGGAAAAAAGGGGAAGGCATTGGGTGACTTTTTCAAAATGATGTGAACGTTTCAAACAGAGACCATTTCAGCAGTCTGAATTCAGAATGAGGTGAGTGGTCTCTGAAAAGTTCCCATCCCTGGAGCCAGCGTGCTGGCTAACCTTGGATATGACGGGGCAATGTTTCCTGGGGAAAAGATGACAAAATTCTTCTACAGGACAAGATCTCCAGTGCGGCCAAGGACCCGAGCAAAATAAAATGTCTCTGGGAACTCAGATGGCTTATAAATACAGATAATTAACCTTATAAGTTATCTGGATTACCTCCTGATTCTAAAAAGTACTCAGAGTAGCTTAAAGGGGCAATAGGAAGAATGAAAATTCATTAGGGAAACACACATGGTGATGAATAAGAGATTCGGACGTCAGTCACCGGTGGATGACACCCTGGAAGGAAGAGAGTCTCTAAGAAATGATGCTGAATTGGGACCCAAAATGTTTACGTTGCTGGATGACCTAACATGCCAAGGGCACTAGATATCTTACTCAAAGGGCAGCGAGAACTCTGACAGTTCCAGCTGTCAGTCTAAGCCTTATTCTCCACCCACAACTCACAAATGGCAACCAGTGCGGCCATGGTTCACACCAGGGCTGTCCCTACTTAGCACACTCTGCTTCTGCTACGGATGTTTGTATATGCCTCATCTTTCAGGCCCTTAGAAGTGCCCGTCTTCTACTCTCTGTATTTTCCCCCACAACACCTGGCAGCAGGCTGTGCATGTCGTGGATCTCAATAAACATTTGCTGCGCAATGACTACATGGACTGTTCTGCCTGACAGACGTGAGCAGAAGGGGGTTCCTGGAGAGCCTTGTTCCCAGAATGCCTGATTAGCGCCAGCCTGAATCAGGCCACGGCAGCCCTGCAAGCTAGTGTGAGCTCCCCAGCGGGTGGAGCACGCCTACCCGTCCCTTGTGACCCCCTATGGCTCCTGGGACAATCCCACTCAGGGAATGGTATTTGCTTACTAATAACTGGTAGAGGTGTTCTCAGGAGCCACTGTCAGGCCTCATGGCAATGCGAGAATGCAACAACTCCCCAAAGCTGGAGGGACTTATGGATTGTTGTTCGTTGGCTACATACCTGTCTCGTGCCTTTTACTTCCCTGACACTGAGTATAAAAAGTGATTAAAAATGTTTGCTGAATAAATGATGATGTGCAGAATTGTTAATGCTTTTAGCAGCTTATTTGGGTACAGAGGGATGTGAGATTCCTGATCGAGATCCTCAAATTCTGGGGTTGCTCACCCCTGAGAGGAGGAAGATAGTGGTTCAGGTTAGGGTGGGCAGTAGAGGCAGTAAAAGTCATGGTGGGAGAGATTTGTTCCAAATCGCAGCTTCCCTAGGGCCGTTGGAGTGCGGTAGTGGATGTATCTGTCTGAATTCTTGGAAGGTCCAGAAGAGGAAGGGCTTCTTGGACTCCCGTAGGTGTGCCACCTGACTCTCAGTGGCCCAGTGCTCTAGAAAGAGAGCAGGCCCAGTTCTCTTGGCCTTCTCCCAAGCCCCTCCTTGAACTCTGAGAGCTCAAGTCTCAGTCTGTGGGAGGCAGAGGCCCTTCTATCACAAGGTGCTGTCAACAGGTGCTAAAGGGAGTGCTGAAACCTCTAGGTAGGAGGGTCTCGGCTGGCACCCTCTGCGGGACCACCCATTTGGCTCACTTTAAGAGCAGAGGGTGACCTCCTCACCTCACTGAGGCAGAGGGACAGCTCTTGGAAGGAGTCATGAGCCGGGGAAGCTGCAGACCTTGTTGGGAAAGGGATGCATTTATAGAGCAGAGATCACTGCTGCTGCCGAGTGCTGGGCTCCTGTTATCCAAGGAAGAGGTTCCCATGCTGCGCTAGCCTGGATCCCAGAAGCACTCTACAGAGAGCTCACCATGCAGCCAACAAACCTATATTCTAAATGTACCGACTCAGCCTCCAAATGCTCTACTTGCTGGCACTTCTCAGCCCTCAGCAGGAACTGAGTTCTCCGTGGGCCCTGGTCCTACAATTCCCATTCACCCTTTCTCTCCAATGCTGATTCGGGTGGGAGAAAAAGCTGTAGTTATTACACAGAATAAGAGACAATCACCACGGTTAGAAAAGCCAACAAGAAACAAGTGCTGGTGGGGTGAGAAATAGTTACAGATGCAGCGGCCTCCACCCTGAAAAATAACTCGGGATGTAATGGCCAAGCCTTGGAGATGGTCTTGGAACCTGAGGGAAAAAAGGATTTTCTTAAGTTCGATCGTCACTGTGGAAATGGCCCTTGGGGGAGAGGGGGCTTCATGTGGGTGTGAGCTCCCCTCTCCCTGAGAAGCTGACTGGCTCAGATCAGTCTGGTAGGAAGACTTGAGCTGGATGGAAGCGTCACGGGAACGGTCAGCAGGAGAGTCTACCCAGATCCCCCTCTACCTGCATCCGGGCAGCACCCACCTCCTTCCCTCACCCCTCTCCTGGCAGCAGAAAGAGGACATCCTGCTGTTTGGGACGAGAGCCTTCCTGTTCCCAGCCTAAGAAACAGGGGCTTTGATACCAAGGATTCCACTTCCCTTTCCTAATCTCTGAATTTTCTAAGCCAAACCGCCAGGGCAAAGAGCTGGCTGGCTGGCTGGTCGGTCCCCGGAGCAAATGCATTCAGAAGTCCCTTCCCAAAGTGAAGATCTGACGGCTGTGAAAGCAACTTACCCAGACCTATATCTATCTACATCTTGCCTTATGCCCGGGGCCCCAGGCTGCTCCAGCCATGAGAAGAAAACTCCCTGTTTTTGTTTTCCTGCTAGAAAGGGTGGGAAGTAGAAAGCAGGACACGTACAGCCACAATGAGGAAGTCCAGCCAGCACCAGGCATTGGTGAAGAACTTGACGAAACCGTAGGCTGTCCACTTGAGCAGCATCTCCAGGATGAAGATGTAGGTGAAGACTTTGTCGGCGTACTCCAGCACGGTCCGGATGGTCCTCCTCTGCTCAATGTAGATGTCCTCGAAGGCCTGAAAGAGAGGCAGCAGCTGCCCGTCGCGCCTAAGGGCACACAAGCACCGCCCTCGCCGCAGCTCCTCCCACCGGGGCTGGCCTCTCCAGCTTCCTGTCTCTTCCACTTCACTCCCCTGCTACACGTGATTTTTTTTAAAAGTTTTATTGAGCTATACCATACAATTCAGCTATTTAAAGTGTACCATAGCTTTTGGCATGTTCATAGTTGTACATCCATCACCACCATCAATTTTAGAATATTTTCATTACCCCTAAAAGAAAGCCCACGTCCTCTAGCGGTCACCCTCTAGTCTATCTCCCCTTAGTCCTAGGCAACCACTCATCTACTTCCTTCCTCTACAGATTTGCCTCTTCTGGACATTTCATATAAATAAAAATCATATAATATGTGGTCCTTTGCCCTAACCGGTTTGGCTCAGTGGATAGAGCGTCGGCCTGCGGACTCAAGGGTCCCAGGTTCGATTCCAGTCAAGGGCATGTACCTTGGCTGCGGGCACATCCCCAGTGGGGGGCGTGCAGGAGGCAGCTGATCGATGTTTCTGGCTCTCTATCCCTCTCCCTTCCTTTCTGTAAAGGGTCAATGGGATATATTAAAAAAAAATAATAATAATATGTGGTCCTTTGTGGCTCACTTCTTTCACCAAGCCCAATGTTTTCAGATTTGGTCCATGTTGCAGCATGTATCAGCACTTCACTTCTTACTGATGAATGATATTCCAGTGAATGGCTATACCACATGTTGTTCATCTTTCATCAATTGATGGACATTTGTGCTGTTTCTATTTTTTGGCTATTGTGAATGCTGCTGCTCTGGGCATCTGTGTACAAGTTTTTATCTGGACATGTTTTCATTTCCCTAGGATATATATACCTAGTAGTGGAATGGCTAGGTCATATGGTAACGCTATGTTTAATTTTCTGAGGAACTGCCCAACTCTATTCCAAAGTGGTCGCACCATTTTTTTTTATATTCCCACCAGCAATGTGTAAGGGTTCCAATTTTTTCACCATCTTGCCAATACTATATATTTATATGACAAAATATTTTCTCCTTTTAGCCCCTGATGTCATAGATACAGGTAGAGGGCCACAGGGCTGGGAGATATTCAGGTAAAAAAAAAAGTCTTAGTACTACTTTCTTTCTCTGGAATTCCCGAATGAGGTAATTCTCTGATACAAAGGTATGAGCATTCCATGTGAGAGTGGTAGACTGCACAAGGGTGGTGCCAAGAGAAGAGACTTCCTAAAGTGGGAAAAAGTCCCTTGTCACGCAAACGGAGGCGTGGGCTCTGAGCAGTTCCAGAGGGACACACTGAGCTGCCTGCAGACTCTCTTCCAGAGGAGGCACGGGAACACCAGGTGTTCCGGTCTCACTACTGGACAGTGCGGGCAGAGGTCATGGGTCCACAGTCCTCAGGATCTTGGTACAAATAAATCGCCCAGTGAAAACAGGACCAGCTTCCATGTTGCTTCCCCTGAACTCCATTTGTAGAAATCCATTCTACAGCCCAGCACATGTGAGAGGCCAAACACTGATCTTCGTGTCACCGGAGGCTCTAACCCCCTTCCTCTGAGGCTCCATCACAACCACATTCTAGTCTTTTCTGGGACAATCTGGCTGTGGCTTCACTTTGCTATTTTTAAGTCTCATGCCTACTATTGCATGGGGCCTCAGGTACTGAGCCACGTATCCCCTTTTATTCAATTATGATACATAACAATTGTCCAGGGTGAGTAGTAAACCAAGCTCAGAACATTTATTTCGCTGCTGCTTTTTCTGTGGAGACGGGGAAGAGAAGGATCAAAGGCTGGGGCATGCTCGTAGGTTGAGGTTTCTGTTTCCTAGATTTGAAGAAGGACAGCAACAATGACACAACACCTCTCCCAACCACTGGCCTTAGTCTGACCCTCCCTTTCCTGGGGGCAGAGGCCAGGCTGTCTGTCACCCTGCTGCCTGCACGGAGCCTCAGGAAGTGCCGAGTGAGTGCCTGCTGATGCGGTGACTCAGGGGTGGGCAGGGCGCTGGCTCCCCGCCCTGTCACTCTGACCAAGGACACAAGCCACCATTTTCTGCCTCCAGCTTCCGTGCTGACACTTTCCTACGTAAACCTGGTCCTTGGCATCCTTGGGCTCCTCTTTACCACACGTTACTGCCCGTTTCCCCTTTTCTTATTCTCCTACCTCACAAGTCAGCAAAACTTCTCAAGGCCTTGGTGGGATCTGTGACACTGACTTTGGGGTTTCTCCCTTGTTATTTTCTTTGCTTCCAGATTAAGCTTTGATTCCACACCTACATAAATGTGCCCACCTTCTTTAAAAACATTTCAAAAATCTCTCCCTTAATAAACAGAAGGAAAGTGTGTAGTGTCTCTAGTCCCTGTCCTCAAATCTGCTCAACCAGGAAGCAGCTCCCTCATAAATCCCCCAGTGAAAACAGGTCTCCTCAGCTACAATCCAGCTCAAGTAAAAGCAGATGCCAGAAAAAATGAGTCCTAGCAGGGGAGGAGCCTGCGTGTTCAGTGCCCTATAAGCCTCGCTGATTAATGACCACGTACAACACAGGAACAGAAATAACCCGTGTACCCGAGATCTAACACTCTAAATATCTGCTAAGGCCACCGGTTCTCCAAAGCCAGTAGGCTGTGAAGGGCGAGGGAGTGGAGGAACACTTCCCCCTCCATACCTTGGGCAACTGAAAAGTAAAGAGCAAGAGATTTGGGGTATTAGATGAGAAAGGGAAGTTCATTTTAGGAAGCTGCTTAGGTTGGGGCAAACCAAGCGGTGAAGACACTTGGTACTTTGTATTCTCGTCCTGATGAAAAGGCGGCCTTAGGGCTGAGTCTAAAGATCAGGATGTGGATTCTGATCCCAAAGGCTCGAAGCACCAGCCAAAGCACTTCAACAGACCATTATTCTCGGGTCCACAGCCAATCAGTGTTCTCAGAGGAATCGGTCTTGGGCCCCATGCAGTCTTTCCCACTAGTGCCTATAAACCCTTCCCCAGCCAATCCCTCATCATACTCTCCCCTGGACCTCACCAGGGCGCCACTGCTGAGCAGAATCATGAAGATGATGAAGGTCTCAAACCAATTGTGCTCTACAATGAGGAAGCACGTTTTCCGCAGGATCCACCAAGACTTGCCTAGGCCTTCTTCGATGTTGACAGTGCAGCACTTGAATCGCCGGACACAACCTGGCACCAGGGGGAGAGGCAGGTCAGACCGTGAACATGCCCCACCCAGCCCTGCCCTCTCCTCTATCTCCCAGCCCCACCAGATGCTGCCCCACCACACAGCTGGGAGCACAGCAGATGAATCAGATCATCTGATTAAGAAATCAAGAGGCTCACAGGCTGAGGCCCTGCTGCAAGGCTGCCAGGGCCCCCTGGAGTTGGGAAGACGTCCCACAAAGTGAGGGAAAGAAAAGGGTAGTCAAGAGGCAGACAGAGCCACGACAGAAAAGGCCTTTCTAATGGAAATTTCTGGACTGATGCCAAGAGAAAGTGGACAAAGAAAAGTTAGAGCCCTGGCCAGTGTGGCTAGGTTGATTGAGCACTGTCCTGTGCACAGGTTGCAGGTTCAATTCCAAGTCAGGGTACATGCCCGGGTTGTAGGCTCAAACCCCAGTGGGGGGCATGCAGGAGGCAGCCAATCGATATGTCTTTCTTGTCGATGTTTCTATCTCCCTCTCTCTTCCTCCCTCTCTAAAATCAATAAAAACATATTTAAAAAAAAAAAAAGATTGCCTGGCCAGCATGGCTCAGTGGTTGAGCATCAATCTATGAACCAGGAGGTCATGGTTTGATTCCAGGTCAGGGCATATGCCCGGGTTGCGAGCTTGATCCCCAGTGTGGGGTGTGCAGGAGGCAGCCAATCAATGATTCTCTCTCATCATTGATGTTTCTTATATAAAAAGGGCTTAGTGGATAAAGCGTTGGCCTTCGGACTAAAGGGGTACCGGATTCTATTCCGGTCAAAGGCATAGTGTGGGGTGGCAGCCAATCAATGATTCTCTCTCATCATTGATGTTTCTTATATAAAAAGAAAGAAAGAAAGAAAGAAAGAAAGAAAGAAAGAAAGAAAGGAAGAAAGAAAGAAAGAAAGAAAGCGAGCCTGGCCAGTTTTTCTCAGTGGTTAGAGCGTTGGGTCACGACTTCAATTCCAGTGAAGGGAATGCACCTCGGTTGCAGGCTTGATCCCTGGCCCTGGTTGGGGCATGTGCATGAGGCAACCAATCAATGTGTCTCTCTCACATCAATGATTCTATTCTCTTTAAAAATCAATGGAAAAATGGGAAAAATATCTTTGGGTGAGGATTCACAAAAAAGAAAAAGAAAAGTTAGAGAATAGTTTGAGCAGGGAAAACAGCATCAACTGCCCTCAAAATGATGAGGTGGGGAACAAGGTTCTTGAAGAGAGCCACTGAGTCCCCACCCTCTCATCCAACCAGTATCCCTAGAAACGCTGTTAACAGCAAGTGCCCCGTGCCCCTACCCCCCTCCTTGCCCCGAACCTTCTGTGAAGCAAGCTTCTGGGTCCAAGTATTCCTCAGGCTGTTCCACTGGGACCTCTTCTACTTCTGGCTTGATATCAATGGTACTTCCTTCAGAGGAGCTAGTATCATCCAGTTTCTAGATATGCAGGGAAAAAGGAAATCAAAATCAAGAGACTCTGCAGCAACATGTCCACTCTCCACTGACTACTCTATACCTTTGGTGTGGATGATGTACTAGCTATAATTTTTCTCCTCAATTCTTTCTCGAAAGTCATCATCATCCAACTTATGATGGGCAAACAAGTACCACAGGGCCTTCAAAACCTCTGTCAGGATGGGATATAACATTAGAACGCACTCACAGATGTCAGTAATCCACCCTAAACAAATGTGGCCATAGGCTGGTCTCAGGGATTCCGCTCACACAGATTAATGGCAGGGAACTACTTGAGGGTGTACTCCAGCCTCTGACCTAGATGATCCAGAAGCCAGGGAGATAGATCCAGGAACATCTCAGGAATCGAGGTCACCTAGGGAAGGCCTAGAATGGCAACAGGGGGGTGAGTTGGCTATTCCAGATTCTCTCTACAAAGCCCATCGCTGAACCAATATCTGGAGCTGACAGAGCCCTGTTTGTTCTCACACAGGATCAAGGTTGGTTTCTAGGCTGGGACCTTACATCTTTGCTGCCGTCAGGATCTGATTCGCTGCTAACGTCCTCTGTGTTGACGTTCTCAAAATCGGACTCGCCTACGGCAATGGGCACCCGCACGGTTAAGTTAGGATTGTTGATGAAGGACATGTGGTCCTCATCAATAATGTACTTCTCCACGCTGCTGCCAATGCCACTGGTGGTGCCATTGCCATTCTTCTGGAAGTCACCATTCCGGTGGATGTCTGCACCAGTGTGGTTGGCGATGCAGTTGGCCTTCTTATCATACATCTCGTCCAGAGGTTTCACTTCATCGGCCTCGCGCTGCTTGAAGTGGGCCTGCATGAAGGCGTGCACTTTCACTTTGGTCCAAGCCACACCCTTCTTGATACGGATGACTGAGATCTGTAGGTTGTTCATTTCCCCATCATCATCCGTGGCTGCCAGATTGTCTGCACTGAAGGAGCTCAGGAGCAAGGCCAGAAACAGGTTCAGCACCTGTACCAGTAGCATTTGGAAAAAAGGAGAGTGAATGTAGCATAGTGAATGGTAATTTATCCATTAAACTAGGAAACTGGAAGCCTACAGATTTATGTAACATACTCAAGAATTTATGTTGTGTTTTGCTTGGCTCACATAGTGTTTTAAACGCTCACGTTACTAGGTGAGCATTGTGTTTGATTTTTGGTTGTAATATAAGGAGTTTAGCACCTCTTTTCTTGGTTCTTTTATAGCTTTACATATATATGTGTGTGTTTGTGTGTACACCTTGGTTACCTTTTTTATTAACAGAAAAAGAAATGTCTGTATCCATTTTGGAAGGAAATCTTCCCAAAATAAAACCAAAAAGGTAGATATGAATTATTGGGGAACATGAAAGAGTGCATAAATGCCAAATGCTCATGAGCAGTAGATGCCTTGGAGGACCCGTGTTAGAAAAAATAGGCTTGGAGAGCCCTGCTTTCATACAACAAATCAAGAAGGTAGAACTAAAATACACTTCATGTCATCTCCTTTTAAAAATTAATTTTGTTTTTCTAACATTTATCAAAATAAAATAGTTTTATAAGACAGTGATGGTTCTGTTGTATATCTAAGTGTTAAGACACCGGATACAAGCCAGGGAGATACAAGCTTCCTTCCTTTCTTTCTTTCTTTCTTTCTTTCTTTCTTTCTTTCTTTCTTTCTTCTTTCTTTTTTTCTTCTTTCTTTCTCTTTTAATTTCCTATTTTACTATATTGGTCATTAAGGTTAATTATTTTTATTAAAACTTACTTTTGAAAAGTGGGAGAGGTGTTCACTTCCTGATTTATACTTGGCCCTTAATTTGTCACACTTCTGAAGAGTAAGGCATATATTTTAAGTGGAGATAATAGCATGTACAGAGTGGGAGGGATGGAAACAATACATGAAATATACGTATCTGGATTATCTGGGCCATCTGTAGAATTAAAAAGGAGCATGTTGGTAATATGGGGGAGGGTGAACTGGAGAGGGCTTTGAAGGCCAAATTGAGGGATTTGAATTGATTCTTGAGCAAAGGAGTCACAGATGATTATACAGATTTGAGAAAGCCATTCCTTAGGAACTAGGAGTTAGGAGACATATTTGCAGGAGGTGATAAGGATCTGGATTAGGCTATAGTGATGTCAAATCTTAGAATGCACAAGAATCTCCTGTGGTGGGATGTTTGTTAAAACTACATAGTTCCTTGGCCTCACCTGAGAGATTCTGATCCAGTAGATCTGGTGTAGGGCCTGGGACTTGACCTTTTTAATGAGTGAAACTTGGGTGGTTATGATGTTGGTGGTCTAGAAACACCGGTTGGGTTATAGAAATGGAAAGGGTGGGGCAGATCTTAGACTATGAAGAAAGATGTAAATACAGAAAAGGAAGGAAGATGTATGAAAGACATCAAACATTTACTGGGAACGGAGAGAAAAGGGTCAGAAGAGACTTACAGTTACAGATTCCTAGAGACTAGATGAGCAGAAGCACTGAGCAAAGGGGAACCTGGGAAGGTGTCATCAGAAGAAAAATAATAGGTGGCTTTCTCATGTGCTCAGGTATCTGTAGACAGTCATGGAGAGCTGTCCTTGAGACAACCGAGAATGGGAGACTAGGGAAAGTGGGGTGAGTCAGGGCTGGTAACTGCTGATCCTACTACACACTAGTAGGTAATAGCTGTGTTCACTGAAGGAGTGGAAAAACTAGAGGGATTAGGACTGAGGGAATGGTGGTTGGGAATGGAGAAAGGGAGGGATTAAAACAAAAAAATCACAGAAGAGGGTGGCTATAGCTGGTTCAGAGGCTGGTGAGTAGGAACCCTCTACTGGAATGCTTCTTCTCTATTGCAGAACAGGGAAGAGAACTAACATGGATGAGCTTACAAGGGATCCTCTGAGTGTGCCTTCTTCCAGTCCTCCTTGCTCTACACTTACAAGTGAGATTCGGCCTGATCTGAGAAATGGGTGCTCCCAAACACTTCAGTGTGCATGTCAATCATCTGGGGATCTTGTTAAATATGCAGATTCTGATTCAGTAGCTCTGGGGTGGGGCCTAAGTTCTGCATTTGTCACATACTCTTAAGTGATCTCATTGTTGCTAGCCCTCAGATCACACTCTGAGAAACAAGGTGTTAAAACCTGTTGGTGAATGCTCTATCTACAGAGGCAGAAAAACAGCAGGCAGACAGATCGAAGTAAAGCAAGAAAGCAATTTGTCATTTTTACAAATTAAATAAAACCCTAAGATGGTTTAGGTCAGTGGTTCTTAATGTAGGGCAATTTTGCCAACTAGGGGGCAATGTCAGGAAACTTTTTGGTTGTCACAACTTGGGGTTGGGGCCACTACTGGCCAGTGAAGGATAGAGGCCAGGGATGCTGCTAAATATCCTACAATACACAGGACAGCCCCACAACAAAGAATTATCTAACCCAAAATGTCAACAGTGTCAAAGTTGAGAAATTCTGGTGTAGAAGACAGAAAGTTTTGTAGTAGAAAGAGTATAGAGTTTGAAGTCTAGGATCTAACACAAGCCCCAACATTTATCAACTATGTGAGTCTAAGAAAAGTCACTTTGCTGAGTTTATTTCCATAACTATGAAAAATGTGGGCAGGTTGTGGGGCTTATGACTCAGTAGGCCTCTGTAAATAGAAGCCTCCTTTCCCTTCATTTGTACCTTAGGGTTCTTGGGCCAAGAAAGAATAAAAACCAACACAGACATGGAAGATACTAGAAGGTCGAAACAGACTGGACTTCTAGGCCAAGAGAAGATGTACAAGTTAGTACTAACCACCAAGTTGCCAATAACCATGACCATCATGAAGACGATGAGGCACATGGCCTGGCCTGCCACCTCCATGCAGTCCCACATGGTCTCGATCCACTCCCCGCACAACACTCGAAAGACAATGAGGAAGGAATGAAAAAAGTCATGCATGTGCCACCGAGGGAGTTCACAGTCCTGGTTGATCTTGCAGACACACTCTTTGTAGCTCTTTCCAAAGAGTTGCATCCCCACCACAGCAAAGATGAAGACAATAATGGCCAGCACCAGGGTCAGGTTGCCCAGGGCACCAACTGAATTTCCAATAATCTTAATCAGCATGTTCAGGGTGGGCCAGGATTTGGCCAATTTGAAGACTCGGAGCTAAGGGAAAAAAAAACCAAACAAACAAAAACCAAGTGATACTCCATCCATTTTCTTACCACATGGCTAAAATAAAAGCATATATCATTAATAAGATCAGCTTACATTTATTGAGCACCCTTGGGAAATTCCCAGGACTTTCTAACAGTCTTGGACTAAACTGGGAGAAACTGAGGCACAAATAAGGGAAAACCGATTAATTTTACAGTTAAGTGAAAGATTTAGAAGTAGGAACCACAAATACTGGCTTTAGTCCCTGAACCAATCTACTTTTTTAAAAAGCCATACATGAACATACCTTTTTCCTATTAATTTTCCCTCAATTTCTCAAGGGACATATCAAGGAAAACATGATATGTAGTGAACTAAAAGATTAGTATGGTAAGGACAGTGACAATAAATTATCTGTCCCCTTAAAAAAGCATTTAAAACTTCTAAATAGCTGTTTTGCTTGCCAATAAATAATTAATGGATGATATGAAACTTTGTGATATGTTTGGAATAATTTGGAAGGAAAGCACAACTCCCGAGAAGGGGCGGTTCTACATATGTCAAACATCTGAAAAGGGACTATACAGGGTGGGGCAAAAGTAGGTTTACAATTGTTTGTACGGAAAATAATACAATAATTAATAAATAATAATACAAGAATACACTGTGCTTCATGTACTCACAACTGTAAACCTACTCTGCCCCACCCTGTGTTGATACCAATTCAGAGGACGGAACTTTGGTATGTCAATCATGAAATTTCGATATTCTATAGTCATTCATGTGACCAGATTACAAGGTCTTGGCTAACAGCCTGAGAATGCATAAAGACTATGAATGGAATGATAGTAATGAGGTTATCATCAGTCATAAGTTAACAACTCAAAGATAATGTAACAGGAATTCTAGCAGAAGCAACAGCATTGATTTGAACATTTTTATTTTATTTTATTGAAAACTTTAGTCTTATCTGAGGGTTCAAGATTTACCAGGTGTTGCTCTGTGTATATCTGGGTCACTCATATTTTTCCCTCTTGACTGGCTTCTAATTTATTAAGAATATTAGTGCTAAGGCTTCTATCTTTTAATCCGGCTTCTCATTTTGTAGATAATGAGAACTGTTCTCAAAAAGTCTATCATGAAAAAAAAAGTCTACTGTGGGCTGGATCCTAACCAAAGACTAGTAAGCAGAGGTTCCAGAAACTTGGCAGATGTTAAGTTTGTGAGTTGGACTGAATGAGATCTCTATTTTACAAGTATTTCTACTCTATTCCAATTCTCTTACTTAAATATGCTGACGATCCTGATGAAAAAAAAACACCTTAAATTCTTTCAGCTGCAAGTGCACAGGTATCTTCCCAATAGGGAGAGAGAAACCTAAGCTAGTTCTAATGCTTTGTGTGAGCGGGATCCAAGAAGCTTCTCAAGGGACTTTGTCAGCACATCACACTTATGCTTATGCTAATGGGAAACTATTCTGAAGATACTGTTCACTATTCTTTCAGAGTCATTTTAGTAATTACACATTAAATTCTTCAAATACATTAATTTAAAAAATCCTTCTTAGTTAATGATATGGAAAACAAAGCCAATGTTCAACAGCTAATTTCAATGTATATATTTTAAAGATTATTTTATTTTCATTTTCTGGAAGGAGTTACCAAAATAGAAGCAACGAGGAAAGCCATCTTTGAGTAAGGAGGAATTTTTGCCATTTCAGAGAGATGTTCGGATAAAGAAATAGGTCCACAAGCAAATCCAAATAGGATCTCAGAATAGTCCTCGGGAGCCCTCCTTCATTTTTTACATTAACCATTACCTTAGGAGGAACTTCCTAAAATTGACATCTGTTTGTTCACTGATTTTAAAAACTAACCTCTATATTAGGTGTTTAGCAGGACAATTTTCAAGGTTTTATTAGCTAAGCCAATAAACAGCCAACTGGAATTGGGAGCAAAATATAGCTAAGGATTTTTAAAAATCGAATTAACTTATGCAAAACTCCTTCTAGTATTTGCAAGACAGGAAATGTAAAAAGAAACTGGAGAAATGTGGAATACCAATCGGAAAGATCGCAGCACCGAAAGCCCCTCCACATCTGCTAGACTCAGTTCCATTAAACTGAGGGAGACAATAAATCCGTCAAAAATGTTCCAGCCTTCTTGGAAATAATAGTAGGGATCCATGGCTATGAGCTTCAGAAACATTTCCGCTGTGAAAATTCCAGTGAAAACCTAAAGGGGGAACGCATGGGTTAAGAAAAAGAAATAACAGGAGAATGGCTTTATCACCATCTTTGAATATAATATATCCAAGAAGCCTTGAGAACCAGCCTTGGTTAAATTCTGCATCGGAGGAATCAATTTCTGGATGTCCCATGACCATGCCACATGATGCAGGAAAGTCTTATTTTTATTTTTACTTTTAAATATATTTTTATTGATTTCAGAGAGAGGAAGGGAGAGGGATAGAGAGATAGAAACATCAATGAGAAAGAAACATTGATTGGCTGCCTCCTGCACACCCCCTACTGGGGATTGATTCCACAACCGGGGCATGTGCCCTGATTGGGAATTGAACTAGTGACCACCTCTTGGTTCATGGGTCAATGCTCAATCACTGAACAACACTGGCTTTCTTTCTTTCTTTCATTCAAATATTTTTTATTCACTGATTTTTAGAGAGAGAAAGGGAGGGAGATTGAGAGAGACTAGACATTAGTTTTGTTGTTCCACTTATTTATGCATTCATTGGTTGCTTCTTGTATGTGCCCTGATGGGAGATGGAACCCATAACCTTGGTGTATCTGGACAATGCTCTAACCAACTGAGCTACCTGGCCAGGGCCTTATTTTCCTCTTGAATGAAGTACTCAGCCCTAACGTTTACATCTTTGTTGCCAGAACCACCCAAATCACATGATTTAAATGTAGCTGAAAAATGATTCTAAGCAATGAGAATACCACACAGGTGACTGCTTCTAAAGGGTCAGCAGTCATTTGAGTATGCATGCTTGGGATGTTTGCCTAAATAAATAAATAAAAAAATCACTCATCCTATTTAATAAAAGGCTAATATGCAAATCGACTGGACCGCAGAACGACCGGTCACTATGACGCGCACTGACCACTAGGGGGCAGATGCTCAATGCAGGAGCTGCCTCCTGGTGGTCAGTGCGCTCCCACAGGGGGAGCGCCGCTCAGCCAGAAGCCGGGCTCATGGCTGGCGAGGGCAGTGGCAGTGGCGGGAGCCCTCTCCCGCCTCCGCGGCAGCGCTAAGGATGTCCGACTACTGTGGGGGGCGGGTCTAAGCCATCAGTTGGACATCGCTGAGGGTTCTCAGACTGCGAGAGGGTGCAGGCCAGGCTGAGGGACTCCCCTTCCCCTGAGTGCACAAATTTCATGTACTGGGCCTCTAGTTGTTTTATAATTATATTAGGAAAATACAGCATTATTTCTGATTTGATATTATGTTTTATCAAACTTAAACATATGCTACAGGGTTTCTTGTTTTAAGTAGTAAAGCAACAGAACATTGCTAAAAGTGTATAAAATACAGGAAAAACATCCATAGTCTCACCACCTTGCATACAACTATCCATTTTATACATCTCCTTTCTGCTTTTTTCAAATGTGGACACACTTTGACAAAGTTGTAAAATCGCTGTTACCTGTCTCCCACTCCTCTGCCTGACAGAGCACCTTGTGCTGCCTAATGCCCTCTGTGTCCCACGGCCTTAGTCACATGACAGGCAGCAGGGAAGTACAATGCCATGAACAAGCCAGTTCCCTCGCTCCAAGCTGACCACATGACATCAGACTCTTACTGAATATTATGTTTTTTAGAGGGGAAGACTTTAAATGCAATAGATTTAAAACTGACAATAAATTAGTACTTATAACCACTTGGTTACCAAATTTACACATGAAGGAGTTTAAGAAAAATGTTAAAGAAAAGGTCTGAGGAGAGAATTAAAAATAGTGAAAAATACTTAAGATTACAGATATTGTGGAAATATACGGAATTGATGTATAGAAATGTAAAACCCCCCAGAATGACTTGAAGGATAAATATCAAAACAGATTAAGTGGGCTACCAGTTTTTGGGGTCCATATACTTTTCTGTGGTTCCCCATTTTTCTACATTGCAGATGCAGTATTCTAAAATGGAAAGAAAATATGCCCTGAAGAGATCCACTTAAGCAAAATCAAAGTTCATAGGGCAAGCTAAGTATCTACAGATCAAACATCCTGCTAAGTGAGGCCAGGGAAAGTTAGGGCAGCTAGTCAATTCCGGACATACATTTTACCCTTAGTGCAAACCCATCAAAGGTTTCTCTACACAGACATGTTCGTCTGCTTGATGCACCCAGGTAGAGGCTGCATTTGCTGTCCCACTGGTTCCTGGTGAACACACAGGAAGTGCCCAGTAATAAGCACTGGCTGGCTGACTACGGGGTATCTGTACTGTGGGAACGTGGTCCCTCTGAGAAAATCAACAATGGCACAGTCCTGTGGTGCTGCCTTCCAATGGGGTGAATGGCCCCCAGACGCCTGGTACGAATGTCTAGGACAGAGGCCAGCAACCCTGTTGTTTCAACACACAGCGTGCTGCCATCATTTGGGGTTTGGGTGAAAACAAATTTGCAACCATTGCTGTATGAAGAAATGACTTTTTTTTTTTTAAACAGAGGAGTAGATTTATGGTTATCTCTACGATGTCATTCTTATTTGCTCTGAGATATGCTTCTTGAAGCAGATAAAGAAGAATAAACTAGTAAGCAGTGAATCAACAACTGTATATAAATGTCCCTCTCGTGAATGTCATCAAATATTCATCTAGGAATTTATGTCCTAGTGCAGCAGTTGTCCAGGTGCAGTTGAGGATCCCTGGGGTCCCTAAGACCTTTCCAGAGGACATGAGGTCCTCCCTTTTGCAACTGTGTGAGGCCAGATTTCTTTCTTATGCTTCAGCCAAAACAATATTTCACAAAGGACTGAATACACAGCAGATAGGAGAATCTAACTACCTCCTATTAAACCAGACATGAAAGATATTTGCAAAAAATGTCAAACAATGCCTTTTTTCCTTAGAAAATATAACTTTATCCCGTAAAATATGTTATTTATGTAATTACATAATGGGTACATTATTGTGATTTTAAATAAATATTTAAGATTCTCAATTGGCTTTAATTTCAAATATGGTAAATATCAATAGATATAACTATCATAAACAAAAGCTTTTCAGCTCTTTTTAAGAATGTAAAGGGGTCCTAAGACCAAAAAAAGATTGAGAACTGCTGTTCTAATAGAATGTCCTGAATTCAGAGTTGGCATATCTTTTTAGTTGGAGCAAACCCCAGACTTGTGAAAAGTATTTAAAAAGAGGTATGCATAAGAGGCTACAAGGACACAGATGAAAGAAAAATTAAAATATAAAAACAATTCCTTCTGGTTGAAAATGTAGTCAAGAAATGATAACATGTGTATTTGGTAAAGAAGGACAATAACTTTTTCCTTTTTTTGCTTAGAATCTCAGAAAGTAAGCTTACATGTCAGGTTAAGCTTTTGCCCTTCCTTCCATAGTCCCAACCCCTCAAATGGCTCAGTCCTAAATCCCTCGGGTGGGCGTCCACAGGAGGGAGGCCGGTGCCAGGTGCTGGGGCCTAAGCAGAGCATCTGTGCACGGGAGTAGCCTGGCGTGGGCGGTCAGAGCCTGTGCAGGCCAAAGAGGGGGTCCAGCTTGGGGGGCAGCCCAATACAAGCTGATTGGGATGAGGATGGCTGCCCAGCACAGGGTATCAGAGTGTAAGCAGGATGGAGAGCTTTCATGCAGGGGAAGCTTGGAGTGGGGTGAAGCGGGGGGATCCAGGTAGAGGGAGGCCCAATGTGAGGCGTTCAAGTCTAAGTGGGGTAAGGGAAACAAGAATGTGTGGGGTGGCCTGGCCTGGGGGTCAGAGCCTGAGAAGTATGAGGAGGGATCTACATGGAGGACACCAGCGAGGGAGCCTGAACAGTGCGAGGGCACCAGCTGTTAGAGGCAACAGTGGCTTCTGATCAAGTAAGTTAACATATGAAAGACAATGGCAACCAGGTTTCTTTTTGTTAGATAAGGAGCTACAAACATCGGAAGGAGAAAACCAGAATGAATCCTGCAGGGCTGGGTTAGAACTGGAAGTGACAGCATGAACTCATGGTTTTCAGCATATACAGTTAGCTTGAGAGCAGCAGGTAGCCCTGCACTGAGAGGGCCGAGGCCTGTATATTGCTCCAAGAGATCCTCACTTCCAAATATCATTTTCTACTAACCCAGGGCTCCTTGGGAAATGGCTGATTCCAGGCCTGAGGCAGGAAAAAGGTAAAATTAGCTTGGGAAATCTTGTGGTACCAGAAAACAAGGAAGTAATGAGAACGTGATGAAAGGACCCAGAAGCCAGCCTGAAGGGACTCCCATTGGCCCAGTCTGGAATGGTGTAAACATCAAAGTAAATGACAGTTCTAATTCACTGGATAACATTGAAAACCATGAGTCCATACTGATATAATTAAGTAAAGGAGTGAATCAGAAATTTAATGAAGAACAGAAAATTCAGATAGTTTTAAAGTACCTTCATCACAAATACTTATCTATACTAATAAAAGGGTAATGTACTAATTAGACCCGGTCGACTGGCCATCTTCCAGACGTCTGACTTCCTTCCGGACAAAGCCATGGTGGTGGGGGCTGAGGCAGAGGCAGTTAGGGGCGATCAGGTCAGTAGGGGAGGGCAGTTGGGGGTGAGATCAGGCTGGCAAGGGGTTAGGGACAATCAGGCCGGCAGGGGAGGGCAGTTGGGGTCAACTAGGCCAGCAGGGGAGGGAAGTTGGGAGCGAGATCAGGCCGGCAGGGGAGAGCAGTTAGGGGCGAGATCAGGCAGGCAGGCAGAGGGGTTAGGGGCAATCAGGCAGGCAGGCAGAGGCAGTTAGAGGTGATCAGGCAGGCAGGCAGGTGAGCGGTTAGGAGCCAGCAGACCGGGCCACTAGTTAATTATAAATGGTAAAGAGTAACTTTACAGGGGAGAAGCCTGGCAGGCACCTCCTCAACCAAGTCACCATCACCAGTAATGACACAAATGAAAAGTGTGTGCCACCTGGCAGGTGCAATGAGAGGACAGCCTCACTTGTGTGACATTCCTGCCAAATGCATAGCTTGAGCCTAATCATGAGGAAGCATCAGACAAACCCAAACTGAGTGAATTCTACACAATATCTGGCCTGTAGTCTTCAGAAGTGTCATGGTCATGAAAGTCAAAGGAAGACTGAGGCACTTGCCCAGGCTGAAGAAGATGAAAGAGAGGACAACTAAATGCAATCTGTAACTCTGAAACGGAATCCTTTGTTATAAAGGATATTACTGGGGCCCATGGGAAAAACTTGAAGGGGCCTGAGAATTAAATGGCTGCAATGAATCCATGTTAATTTCCTGACTCTGATGTTAAATTAAGGTTCTGTGGGAGAATGCACTTGTCCATAAAAAACACACACTAAAGTATTCGGGGATGAAAGGCTGTGTCAGCAACTTACTCTCAAAAAAAAAAAAAAAAAGGGTATACTATACTTGAAACTTCCCAGTACGACTGTTTAAAAAACCACCTTATAAACCTACTGTTGTGTTCAATTGGTTGCAAAAAAGGCAAGAAAAGAATCATGAAAAACAATACAAAAGTTGTGTAAGTCACATAGCTGCCCTGGGCTTCAACTTCCTTTAGAAAACACGGGGGTTGGATTGAATTATCTGTAAGGTTCCTTCTATTCTTAGATTTTTCTTGTGGGGAGGGCAGAAGAGGCAGGGATTATAGATTTACAGAAGGCAGTTCTCATCTCCCCTCAGAAACACCTGTCGGCACCTCTACAGACAGACGCACCCAACCACTGTCCTGGCTGTGGGAAAAGCCTCTCATTCCAACAAGGAGACAAGGGTGTGCTCACATCGGGTTAGTCTCACCTTTTCTTATCCTCTTTTTCTCAGGTTTCTACCAAAGACTTTGCCCAAATCTCCAAGCCTGTGAAAGTTCTCCTACTGAGTTACACTAATACAGTTCCTAAGATTTACAGAGTACTTTTCATGATTCCAAAAACTTTGGTTTAAGTTCTCATTTTATCCTCCCACCCACTGATGGATGACATGGTATTAGCCTCATTTTATAGATCTGGACAGAAGTTAATTTCTGGACAGAAATTAATGGCTTATTTAAGGTTAAACAACATTTCTGGACAGAAATTAATGGCTTATTTAAGGTTAAATGGTATCAAACAGGAATCAATACCCAAACCTTCTGACTTCTAATTCTGTGTTCTTTCTGCCAAACTCAGCACGTGTGTTAATTGGCAGAAAGTACATTTTTGAGCTTATGTTATTATTCAGAAAACACTCATAATGCAAGTTTTCCCGAGGTCCAGCACATATCCAACTGCCTCATTTGGCATCTTCACTCTGAATAAATAGACATCTCATTCTGAATACATCCAAATAGAATTCTTGATTTAAAACTCCAAACCTGTTCCTTCCTCAGTCGTGCCATTTCCCCTGCAGTAACTACCCTCCTAAATCTAGGCACTATTCTTCATTTCTTTCCCGTCGCCCTCACATGTAACCCATCAGCCAGTCCAAAGCATCCTGGCCATGCACTACTCGCCATCCCCATTGCTAATTGTACCCTTACTTTCCCCCTTGAAACCCCACTCCACCCAGTGCTTGCTTATTGCAGAATCTGGTTGTGGTTAGTGTGCCTCATGGAGTCCCTAAATATTACGACCTTCTCTCATATCCTCTCTCTTCACCAATGGTTCTGGGCAAGGTCTTCTGAATGCTCACAACTGTAATTTAGGTGTGGCCCTACATCTCTTTAGATTTTTAAGAAAGGGAAAAATCATGGTATTTGCTGGTTTGAGGGCCATTCTGCTGGTAGTAGGTGAAAAGGTCTCTCAGACTCCCTTGGAAATTGAGAACCTGTTCTGTAAAAACTTTGAGAAAAAAAATGCTATAAGGAAAACAGCAGCAACAGCACCACCACCAACAAAATCCATCAAGTCATATTTCTTATTATTTAACTCATGGCTAGTACAATAAAACTTATAGGTATATAATATTGTTGGTTGACTCAAAATTCTGCTTGATGGCCAGCTAGTTATACAGCAAGCTTACCTGAGGCACCTTTCAGAGCCAGTGAGCACATTTCCTGGACGTAGTTCAAGACTATGGGTATTTCAGCCCTGGTCAGTTGCCTCAGTGGTTAGAGCGTTGGCCCCCGGACAGGTCAATTCCCCGTCAAGGGCATGTACCTCAGTTGCAGGTTCAATCCCTGGCCCTGGTCGGGGCATGAGTGGGAGGCAATCAACCCATGTTAGAAACATCTAACACATCACTGTTTCTCTTCTCCGTCCCTGCCCCCACATACCACCTCCCCCCTTCCCTTCCACTCTCTCTAAAACTCAATGGAAAAAATATCCTCACTCCTCAGGTGACGATTAAAAAAAAGACTATGGGAATTTCATCAGACTGCATATGAGTTCACATCAAGCAGTGAGCTAACCTAGACATGAAAACTGGACAGACCACAGAATCATCTTGGGTGTGTACCAGGGAACTCAACGGACTCAAAGGATCGCTCTTGCCACATGTGTTTTCAGAATCAGAACTCAACACGATGTTATAATGCTTTAATAGTGCATTAGGACTTAAGGCGGAAACGTGTGTGTGTGTGTGTGTGTGTGTGTGTGTGTGTGTGTGTGTGTGAGACAGAGACAGGCAGAGAAAGAGATAGAGAGTGAGACAGAGGTGAAGGGAGGGAGGGAAGGATAGGGAGAGGGAGGGTGAGAAGTTGGAGGACAGGAAAGGTGAGGAAGGCAGGAAGGGAGAAGAAAAAAACATATACCAGGCAGAGATTATGCTCAAATTAAATGGTAACAACTAGATTAGACATGCCTATGGCGCGACTCCTAAAGAATAAAGAGGCCCGGACGACCTAGAGGATTCTTTCCAACTAATTCTTTACTATCTATCAAAATTCAACCAACTCCTGATTTTTGCACCAAAGAAGTAAAACAGATAATCCCCAAATCACAACTACTTGACCTCAGGATCCGTTGTGTAACCTATTTTTTAAAAGTGTATATTATCTTCTAATTAATATCATAAATGACATATAAGATTAAGCTAACATTAAAATAAACTTGGCACAGATCAACTAATGGAAACTGGATGACAGCCCAGAAGTTGGACTGGAGGGGAAACCAGCCTGGAGTTAAAAATGTCCCCGAGACAGTCCCCATCTGGGTATGAATATGACCGTGCAGGCCAATTTACAGTTACACTGAATGCACTAAAGAGCTCCCCTATTGTGTGGTGGTTGTCACTGAGAGTGAGAGGGGAAAGGATTTGCTGGACCGATGCAGGAATCAATGTGAGAAGCAGAACGAGAAGAACCCCGAAGTCCTTGGCTCAGGCTACTGAAGCCTGTGCCATGCCTCCCATTCCGTCACCACAGCTGGCCTTCTGCCAGCAGCTCCTAGCTGACGGACGTCTTCTCGATTCTGCAGAAGGAGGAAGCAGCCCAGGGGTCACAACAGTGAGCAGAAGCGGCTGGGGCCCGCGGCATATGTGGGAGCATTTGCCTTCCAATTAACTATTACTTTCTCTTCAACCAAACCTCTGCTTTCAGTATCAGAAAAACACGTCCTACAGGCAGCACATGTTCAGATCACAAAACTGGGAGATGGCGCTCTGTCTTACCAGATTCCCCACAGACAAGACATGTTCGAACTGTGGCGTCATAGGATGGTGCTCCATCGCCATGAACAGTGTATTCAGGACGATGCAGATGGTGATGGCCAAGTCCACAAAAGGGTCCATCACGATCAAGTTCACAATCTCTTTCAGTTTTATCCAGTAGGGGTGACACTCCCAGATGAGGAACGTATTGGCGAATTTATACCAGCACGGCGGGCACTTCCTCTGGGACTCTTCCAGCTCTGCAGGGAGTAAAGAACAAAGGTGGCCCCTCAATCCCTGTGTGGGAACAAAGGAGACAGCTGCAGATCCTCACAGGGCATCGTCGCTGTGATCACGTGAGGACAAAGTGCAGACTCTCCCTTGGGTCCCTCGGTTTTCCTTCTCAAAGGAGAGAGGAGGCAGGATCAGTACCAGGTCACTTCCCTGTTAATAATGATGATCTAGTTATAAACAAAATTCAACCCATCTGTTCTGGGAGCACGCAGAGCAGTCAGGAGCTTAGCCTCTGGAATCTCAACTGGCTTCAACACTTAACTGTGGGAACTTGAGCGAGTGATTTCAATTTCCTGTGAGAATTAAATGAGCTAAATTAAAGTGCCTCAGAAGACCCTAGAACAGTGGTTCTCAACCTTCCTAATGCCTTTAATACAGTTCCTCATGTTGTGGTGACCCCCAATTTCATTGTTACAAATTGAACATAATTAAAGCATAGTGATTAATCACAAAAACAATATGTAATTATATATGTGTTTTCCGATGGTCTTAGGCGACCCCTGTGAAAGGGTCGTTCGACCCCCAAAGGGTTCGCAACCCACAGGTTGAGAACTGCTGGCCTAGAACATTGATTTTCATCTCATGGTACACATAAGCCAATGACTAAAATTCTGCGGTACACCAAATTATATATATTTTTCTGATCTGACCCAAAAAAAGGGTATAATTTTGATTCATTCACACTGGACAGTTATCATTGTGTTGGCTGTTGTCATTTTTTAATTTGACAATCTAAGGGAAAAGAGGTCAGTACCCCTGATTAAATAGTTAGATATTGCATGTTTTAAAAACTCTTGCGGTGCACCAGTGTGCTTTGGCACACCAGGTGAGAACAGCTGCCCTAGCATACACTAAGTGCTGCTGAAGTATTTGCTATTGTTATTATCTTTATAGCAGGATCAGCATCATCAACCACGCCACCATGTGTTCGTATGTTCCAAAGATGTATAAGTCAGTGAGTTTACAATTCATAATTCAGTAAGAAATGTAGTTACATTCCTTTCCCCTTTTCTCCCTTCCTTCCCCTTTCTCATCTCTCCTCATCCTTCCTCGTCCTCTCTTACCCTTTCCCACTTTCATCCTTTCCTTTTTGCTTCATCTTCTTCCCCTCTCCTTCCCTTGGTCTCTTTCTTCTTTCCTTTTTCTTCCTCTCCTTCTTTTGTCTTATCCCTCTCTTTCTGTTTGTCTCTTTTAGAAACAGAACCTGTTTTCTTCCAAACATGATTTTATGTAAGCCCCAATATGTAAAATACATAAACCAGGAATTGCTCTAGTTGAGACAAGAAGAGGAGCTTGGAGCCAGTCCAATTGACTTATTCCTTTCCTGAGGGACTTCCCTAATCCTAGGACTCTGATAAACACAGACTGAAAATCACTGAACTAGATGATCTCTAAGGTCGTTTATAAAGCGAAGACCAAAAAGGATGCTTAGACCCTAAAGGCAGAGAGCCATTCAGCTGGCAGCCACAACCACTTGGGCACGAGGCCCTACAGAACAAAGCTCTCCCCAAATTGAGTGTGAAATATAACAGCTAGGATTCCGAAAGTCCAAGGATCTTGATCCTGGAGAATGTTAGGAGATGTAACTTTGCAAACCTGTCAGCATGATAATCCTTAGAGGCACGGTATTGGTTCTAGAGGGTTGGCTATAATGCCCCCCCCCCCACACCCCTGTCCAATTCTTCTGACAAAACCAAATCATTCATGGAATAAAGGAAAGTTTCCCAACATTTCACCACCAACAAGATGGAAACCTTCAATTAGTCTACTTTCCCTTTTCCAACCAGTTGGATGGTGCCTGTGGTGATGGCTTTATTTTAGACGGGGTGCTTTGCTGGGTTTCTGATTGGCTCCCTGGTTGCTAGGAAAATGGTTGCCTTGGTTTTTCAGATTTAAGGGCCACAGTAAGCGCCACGTGGGAGTCTGCGTGGGAAAGGAAGTCTGTGAAGAAAATTTGCTTTGGCTTCTTCCTCATAGAACTCCCTCCGTTTCCAAGGTAAATTTAGTTTTCTTCCCCCCCTCCTAAAAGAAAGAAAATGAAAAGGTTCTCTTATTTCCATAAATTCTTGTAGTACATATTTGGAAATCTGGTTCCGTTTCTTTTTTTACCTCCTCCCATCTCCAAATGTCTGCTGCTCACCAGCACAGCACGCACGTGGAGGTTGAAGCAGCTACTGTTCACATTTCTGACAGTTGACACAATTGTAATGTTTTATAACGAACTAGAGGCCCAGTGCACGAAATTCGTGCATGAGTGGGGTCCCTAAGCCTGGCCAGCAATCAGGGCCTATTGGGGCCAGGCCAGCCGGGGCCTGCTGGCTGCCGGCTGGGGCCTACTGGCTGCTGCTGGGGCCTGCCAGCTGCCAGACGGGGCCTGCTGGATTGGGGGAGGGATGCGGGGAGGGACCGGGGGAGGTTTGCCGGCCAGGGGGAGGGACCGGCGGAGGTTGGCTATGGAAGTGCACTGACCACCTGGGGACAGCTCCTGCATTGAGCACCTGTCTCCTGGTGGTCAGTGCACATCATAGCAACTGGTCAACCAGTTGTTCTGGTCATAACGGTCACTTAGGTTTTTATATATATAGACTAGGCTCCAAGTCTTTACCAGACAGCAAAGAGGGGTTTCTCTGCCCTGTGGGGCACCAAGAAGATTCCTAGAGGGATATGAAATATCCCTTAACCACCTTTACTGAGCAAAGGGTAGATCTTCAGGATTTTTTTCATTTCACCAAAAGTAAGACAACGTAGAATGTTAGGAACTAGAAAAGATCACTAGGTGAATAAGGAAGTGTATAAAGTAACTCACAACTTTACAAACTTACTGGCCTCACATGCCTGGAATAGGGGAAGTAACTGATTTGGAGGAATGAGTTAACTTGGGGGATGAGATGTCCAAAGGTCTGTGGGGTTTCCTTACCTTGCTCCTGGACGTTTTCAGAGAGGGTACTGCAGGTCTCAACTTCAGGGCTACTGGGAATTGTTTCCAGAAAGGGCCTCATAATTCCACCGAGATGGTGGCATTGGCAGACCATGAGGTTTCTGAAGGCAGGAGCTTCTCTCAATTCAATTTAACAATGTTTATGCACCTATAGTTTGCGAGGCACTGGGAAAACGCTGATGAACGCGAGTCCCCATCCTCACAGAGCTTACCATTGCACCGGAAAGGCAGAGAGATGCCAGAGAAGCGACTGTGCTGACACTTGACGTTTGTCAGTTGAATAAAAGAATGAGTAAGTATGCCCTAGCTCAGTGGTCGGCAAACTCATTAGCCAACAGAGCCAAATATCAACAGTACAATGATTGAAATTTCTTTTGAAAGCCAAATTTTTTAAACTTAAACTATATAGGTAGGCACATTGTTATTAACTTAATTAGGGTATTCCTAAGGCTTAGGAAGAGCCACACTCAAGGGGCCAAAGAGCTGCGTGTGGCTCATGAGCCACAGTTTGCCGACAACTGCCCTAGCTGGTTGGGCTCAGTGGAGAGAGTGTCGGCCTCCAGACTGAAGGGTCCTGGGTTCAATTCTGGTCAAGGGCACATACCCGGGTTGCAGGCTCAATCCCCAGTAGGGGGCATGCAGGAGGCAGCCGATCAATGATTCTCTCTTATCATTGATGTTTCTATCTCTCCCTCCCTCTCTCTTCCTCTCTGAAATCAATCTATATATATAAAAGGCTAATATGCAAAGTGTCCCCTCGGGAATTCGACCAGGAGTTCGATCACTCGCTATGATGTGTGCTGACCACCAGGGAGCAGCACAGAATGAAGAAAGGCCCTGGCCAGTAGCCAGGGAAGGAAGGCCCCGGGTGGCAGCCGGCAGCCCTAAGGCCCCGATTGGTCCTGATTGCTGGCCAGGCTTAGGGACCCTACCCATGCACAAATTTCATGCACTGGGCCTCTAGTAAAAATATATTATATATATTTAAAAAAAAGAATGAGTAAGTCATTTGTGGCAGCAATAGCTACAGACAGCTACCTCTATAGGGGAGTGTTTCAAACTGTTTAACCCGAGAATAAGTAATGCCAAGTACCATCACTACGTCCTCATTCTTACTTTACCTACTCTCTCCCCTTCCTTCTCCCAGGGCTTTTCTGCTTTGAGAAGTGAAACTACACTACTCTCTGCCTACACCCCACCTCCAGGCCTTTGAAATATCCCCAAAGCTGATGGCTCCCCTGACTGAATTCTGCTGAGTTTATTGGATCCCGGTGAGCATGTCTGCAACCGGATAGGGGTGAGGCAGAGCAGGCAGGGCTTTCTCATTATTTACAGAATTCTGGAATTCTCCACTGTGGTTTTATTTATTAAAAAATATTTTTTATCCTCATCCGAGGATATTTTTCCATTGATATGAGAGAGAGAGAGAGAGAGATATTGATGTGAGAGAAACACATCTATTGGTTGCCTACTGCACACGCCCTGACCAGGGCCCGGGCCAGGGAGGAGCCTGCAACCAAGGTACTAGGTATGCACCCTCGACTGGAATCGAACCCGGGACCCTTTGGTCCACAGGCCAATGCTCTATCCACTGAGCCAAACCATTAGGGCTCAACTGTAGTTTTAAACAGGTAGGTAGGAGCCTGTTTCTTTGATTTTAAATAATAATAATTTTAATACTTGGGTTATAATGTCAGGGCTTCTAACTGAAGGTCTGGAAAGCAGGAACAATTATTCATTCAATGCTAGCTTTTCACATTGTAGCGATCTAGCGACCATTAATCCAGAGGGACCAGCAGTCAAACAGGAATGATCTTTCTTAAGGTCCTTAATTCCCTCTTCACGTTATTCAGCTCCAGCCATTCATCATTCTTTGCTTACAGCAGTTGTCTCATCAATTTTAACAAAGGGAGTCAACTACTAGGAGAGGGGATAGGAGGAATGTTTGAGCAGGAACAGGCAGTAAAGGTAAAAGTGATGTGGACTTCAGGGCTTAGAAAAGGGGAAATGAACTGGAATGGCCTCTTACCCAGGAACACAATTACAGTCATCTCCTCTGAGCTACCCTTGCATCTATTTTTTTTTCTTTAATCCTCACCCAAGGATATTTTTTCTATTGGTATTTTTTTTAAAGAGAGTGGAAGGAGAAGGGGGGGGGGAGAGAGAGAGAGAGAGAGAGAGAGAGAGAGAGAGAGAGAGAGAGAAAGAGAAAGAGAAAGGGACAGAGAGGAAGAGAGGGAGAGAAACATCGATGTGAGAGAGAGACATCCATTGGTTGCCTCCTGCGCCCACCCAGAGCAGGGTGGGGGAACGAACCTGCAGCTCAGATACAAACCAGTGACCCTTCAGTGCGTGGGCGGATGCTCTACCACTGAGCTACATTGGCCAGGGTTGTGGTTGTTGTTGTTATTATTATTATTTTATGTGTGTGCTGGTGGGTGGAGAATGAGTAGAGCAGAACAGAAAGATAAAGAAGAGGAGAGGGAGAACAGGAAAATAAGAGAGTAGAGAAAGGCAGTAAAGCTCCAATGATTTAGATCTAACTCAGTACAGGGACAAAAGCACTAGGTCTCCAGCAGAAACCCTGCCACACCAACACTCCCCACCACGCCAAGCTCAGCAAGATTCAGTTCAACAAGCATTTCTGAGCATCTACTTCTGCCAAACCCTGTGCTAGGTCACCGAGGTAATCAATAAAAAATTGCTGCATTGCTTTGATAGTTCTGTTCTGAATGTCTTTGCCAATAATAAAATATGCCTATTAGAGGTCGTTAGTTTTCTTTCTCAGCTGCCATAGATACTCAGATAAATCTTGTCTTGGTGTTCAAGTGAAGAATAAAATTAGCCAAGGTTCTTAAACTAGTGTTTCTTATCTTGAAATGATCTGCAGTTATCACCTGCAACCTTAAGTATAAGCTACAAAGAGCTTAAATATGTTCTATCGGCAAGGACCCTGATGGGATGGAAAGGAAACAGGAATCACTGAAGTGGTTCAGGTGGCTGAAAGCAGTAGGTTCAGTATTGTTTTTACCTGATATATTCTTCAGATTAGGCAGGGGAAAGTGTAGCTCCTTGTAAACACTCCTTGTAAACACTTCAAGGGAGATCCTTTCTGGGGATTCTCCCTTCACCGCAGACGCCCCTGCCCAACACATACACACACACACACACACACACACTCACACACTCACACACTCACAAAGTGGTATTGGTCTTAAATGACTCAATGACTCAAAAAATAACTTGTCTCAAAGACACCTGGATCATTTTGAGTCTCCTGATATCTGAGACTCTGGCTATTGTTGGGTTAGTTTGGTGTTTGAACTCTGAAGGAAGGCAATTTGAGGCCTCAAGAATAGTCTGTAACAGAATGGATAAAGAAGTTGTGGTACATATATACAATGGAATATTACTCAGCCATAATAAAGAAGGAAATCTTGCCATCTGCAACAAAATGGATGGATCTTAAGGGTGTTATACTAAGTGAAAGAAACCAGACAAATACCATATATTTCCACTTATATGTGGAATCTAAACAACCAAATAAATGAATAAACAAAACAGAAACAAACTCATAGGTATCTAAAACGAACTGATGGTTGCTGGATGGGACTGGGGTTGGGGCACTGAGTGAAAAAAGGTGAAGGGATTAAGAAGTACAAAATGCCAGTTATAAAAACAGTCATGGGGATGTAAGTACAGCATAGGGAATATAGTCAATAAATTGAAATAACTAAGTATGGTGTCAGATGGGTACTAGACTTATCAGGTGATCACTCTGTAAGTTATGTAATGTCTAATCACTATGTAGAATACCTGAAACTAATACTGTATGCCAACTGTAATTGGGGGGAAAAAGCTGGATCTATAATGGGACAAGTCAACTAAATCAACACGAATCAAATGAAGAAGATTCATACAGAATCAATCAGAACCTGTGAGAGAAAACTTCGCCACTGAATCGACCTCTAAAGAAAGCAAGAGGAGCCTGGGATGCAGACCCCAATTGGATGGAAAGCTAGCACTTGCTGGGGACGGTGGGAACTGGAGCTCTCTCAGGTGCTCCTGAGCATGCCCACTGCGTCATGGAGGAGCCACCTAGTGCTGAGGTCGGGCACTGACAGCAACGGCACTGCAGGCATGCTACAATTCAACAGCGGCTGCTCTGTCGGTGGCACAGTGCTGGAGAAGAGGGATTTCAGCGTATCTATTCACACATCAAATGTATTTATGACTATATGAGAGTGCTTGAAGAGAGGCAGAATTAGGCGCAACCGAAACGCACAGTACATTCATCCTTAAGGGAAAACCACAAGCGTTGTAAGTAGCTGAAAAGGAAAAGAAGAAGGTATGTTTTGGGGTGATGGGATTCCATCATCCTTTCTCTTCACAGTTCTTCAGTCTATATTCCTTTATGCCTTACATCACCCCACTGGCTCCTCGTGATGACAATTACAGAGACTTCTTCAGATCTTCTAGCTCACACTTATGTCACTCTTTCATACTTATTATCTGTCTGTGCACAATGCTGGCAGCAACTTTGAAGTCCTTATTGGATTCTCTGCATGCAGACTTGGGATGCTGGTTTCTGTGACCAGCACACTATTCCTAAAGCTTAGAGGCAATTTTTGCAAAACTCAGACCAAGGGACAGGGATTATATTTATCAAGCACACTACATATTTGTATCTCAGCAGCTTGGACTCACATCACAGGGCACATACCTTCTACTAGTGTATTTGTAACAACACTCAGTATACTGTTTATCCTGTCCTTCCGCCCATAGGAGGCCAGTTGCTCCATGGAAACTAAGAGAGATCCAGGACCTTTCTTCTTAATTTCCACTTCAGTTGTACCCTGAAAAAAAAAAAGCAAATGGGGTGAGTAGTCTTATAAACATTCAGGCTGGGCCTTACCAGATCAATAATCCAGACTGTGAGCAGAAATATATGCTCTTCCTTAAATTTCTTACTTTAATCCTACAATCAATCCTATTGACCTCAAGAAGCAGAATGCTATAAGTTAGCCATGGACTATCCTTACGTCTATAGATGACAAGACCAAGTCATTTAAGTTTGTACAAACCTACAATGAACTCGAGTCTGGCTGGGACCCAAATACCTCATCTGCTTAATTCCAAACATAGAATAGAAAGACCAGGTCCCCTGGGGCAATGCCATCAGAAGTAGACCCTGAATTTTCCTGGCCTAGTCTCATATCCGCAGCATTTGACTAGAATTGGACCACACCATAGAATAAGTCAAATTCACCTCCATTTGAAATTTCATTAAGGGCCATGTCCCTAATCACACTGAGAGTTACCAATACTGTTTCCTCCATGTGTAGGAGCACAATCACTCTACCAAACTGTTGCTTCCAAATGCCAAATCTGGGCCTAACTGAATGTTAACAAGTTCTACCCCAAATCTCCTCCGAGCCACTGTAAAGAAGCAGGTAAGGTTTAGCTAGTTTAATTAAATATATTGCATCATATGTGTTGATCTTGTCTTTTTAAAATTTTATTTTATGAGTTAACCTGCATGGTTCAAATCCCCAACGAAATAAAAAAGTGCAGAAAGTACCATCAAATTGTTATACAAAATATTTTTACATGCTCCATAGTGGTCAATATACCACTGGCTCCTCATGATGTCAGTTAGATTACAGTAGATGGTTTCTTCGTATTCCTTGCTTGTGTTCTTTGTGCCAACCTGAATATTCTACATCAGATCAGGCTCAATGGGATGGCTTAAAACCTAGCTTTCTAGTAACCATGTTGTCCACTTTAACACGTTATCCACCTAAAGTGGGCTGCCCCTTCCCTGGTGAGAATCACAGGGCAGAGAAAGTCACCATCACCGACGGCCAAGGAAGAGACATGTTTGTATGAAGCTAGAGAAGTATCTGTCTGATCCATACCAGAGTGATCCTACCAGTTTTAAAAAGAAAATAATTATCTCTGGAGAGGTACATCAGAAAGCCTTTCTGTTCTTATATGTTCAGATTTTAAGAACCATACAGAAGAAAATTTCTGGCAGATTATAATTTATCTCATCACAATGTTTCATCAAACTTTCACTGATTCAGACATCTGGTTTACCTTACAATTTTGTTTGGCAGAGCTGCAGAAGAAATAGAAAGGAAAAAGCACTATTTTCTTGGCAATTCCTGACCCATTATTTACAAACATCTGTGTATGTAAGAATGACTAGTTAACCCTTGCCTCAGGTCATATGAGGTATATTTCCTTGAGAAGCCACTTTTGGTTAAAATTCCCAGCCTGATATTCACAACTTCTAATAAATCAGATAAACTACTACATTTCAAAAAGGACAATTGTCTAAAAATGAACAAAGACCCCATTCAATGCACACTCTTATTTCTGGCATTTATTGAGTCTCGATTTTTATTGAATTGCCCTTCTGAAAAATTGTAGTACGTGGTAGATAATCTTCTTAATGCTGATCCCTAAGATACAGTACAATCTAATAGACCAGCTGATACTTCAAGGAAGGATGAAATTGCATTTAATGTAGCTCTGGTACTAATTATATCTTAATATTTTCTGGTCTTGCTGGATATAACAAGATATAAATTCTTCAGGCTTTAATCGAAATAATATTAAAAACAAAATTAATGAAAATGCTGTCTAAGAATTATCATTTCATGATTTTTAAAAAATTACAAAAAATATAAATACCAAGAAATAAATCTAGAAAAGATATACAAACCCCCCACTACAAACTATTCAACTTTGCTGAGAGAAACTTGAGAAGAGTTAAATATACTCATAGATTGGAATATTCAATATAATTAAGATGCTCATTCTTCCCAAATTGACCTCTAGATTCAGTGCAATCAGTATCAAAATTCTCCACTTTTTTGAAGAAATTAACAAGATGATTCTAAAATATATAAAAACATACAAAGGATCTAGAATAGGAAAATCTTTTGAAATATTATCTAGAATAGCAAAAATATCTCTTAAAAGATTACTTAATAATATTTTAAAATATTTTTTATTTGGAGAGCTTACACTGTCTCATTTCAAGAGTAATAAAGTTACAATAATTAAGACAAATGTAGTATTGGTATAAGCATAGATAAATAGATCAAGGGAATGGAAATAGAATACAGAAATAGACCCTAACCTACTACATCAATTGATTTCGACCAAGGAGTCAAATCAATTCAATGGAGATAGGAAAGTCTTTTTAACAAATGGTACTAAAACACTGGATATCCACCCAGGTCCACTCCTATGTAGTTCCATACACAAAAATTAATTTGAGCTGAATCAGAGACCTGAATGTAAAACCCAGAACTATAAAGCTTATAGAAGGAAAATATCTTCACAATCTTAGGGATTGGCAAAGATTTCTCAGGCAGATGCAAAAAATATCATAAAAGGGGAAAAAACTGATACATTGGACTTCATCAAAATTAAAAATTTATATAAATGATAAAGGATTTATATCCATAGCATATAAAAAGCTAATAAATCAATAATAAAAAGAACAGCTCAGTTAAAATGGGCAAAATATTTGAATAAGCAATTAACAAAAGAAGATATAAGAAGCCAATAAGCACATGAAAAAATGCTCATCATCATGGAAATTAAAAGGACAATAAGATCGTATTTTATACTCACTAAGATGCTAAAATCAAAGATTAACACAACCACATATTGGCTAGGATGTGGAGCAACTGGAACTCTAATACATTGTTAATCCTATATAATAAAAGGATAATATGCAAATTGACCCTAACAGCAGAACGACTGGAAATGACTGGTCACTATGACACACACTGACCACCAGGGGGCAGACACTCAATGCAGGAGCTGCCCCCTGGTGGTCAGCATGCTCCCACAGGGGGAGCTCTGCTCAGCCACAAGCCAGGCTGATGGCTGCCAGCACAGCGGTGGTGGCGGGAGCCTCTCCCGCCTCCTCAGCAGCGCTAAGGATGTCCGACTGCAGCTTAGGCCTGCTCCCCACTGGCAAGTGGACATCCCCCGAGGGCTCCTGGGCTGCCAGAGGGATGTCTAACTGCCAGCTTAGGCCCAATCCCCTGGGGAGTCGTTTGGCAGTTTCTTATGAAGCTAAACATACATTTACCATATGACCCAAAAATTTCACTGTGAGTTGAAATCTATCCAATATAAATGAAAATACTTATCTACAAAAAGAATTATACAAGAATGCTCTTGGCAAGCTTATTCATGCTACTGAAAACTGGGAATACAAGGAAGCCCATCAATAGGAAAATGGACAAATTATGATATATTTATACAATGAAATACCACTCATCAATAACAAGGGATGAACTACTGATACACAAAACATGAATGTATCTCTAAAACATCTTTTTGAGTGAAAGAAGCCAAATAAAAATTTCATATTGTATGAGCCCACAAGAATGAAAGAAAACTAATCTATGGTGACACAAGACAGAAGTAGTTGTCTGGAAGGGGGAGGGGCCAGATTAGAAAGGAGTATGAGGGTACTTTCTGGGAGAATTTTGTGGTAAGGAGGGCTTAGGGGATAATCCTCAACTGGTCACAGAGCTCATTCTCTACCTTGGTTTTACCCACAACTCTGGTAACTCTTGGGTGAGGGTTACCCATTGTACTAATGCCGTACTGATTACAGAGGAGAATATGGAATGCAGAGTGTGTAAATATGTATAAAATGTATCTGTATTTTGGAAATAAACAAAGATCAACTAAACAAGAAAAACACAGGTTATGTATGCTGTCTGACATAGTGAGGGAGTCAGCCAACAACACGTGTGTTTTAGCAAACTCAAAAGCAGGCAAAGGAATCGGAAAGCATCATAGTGGGAGACAAAAGGCTTCCGGTATGCCCTGATTAAAGCCTGTTGGCCTGGGGCAGCTGAGGCAGGCTGACTAGAAGCTGGGCACCCTATATGCTTTGTTAGGGGTGCACATTTGGCTTCCTTTGGTTGGTCCTACGTTGGAACAGGGACAAAAATTAGGGAAGTTGTCAGTTCTTAATCAAGTCATGGACATTTGGGGCTGATTGTTATAGAAGTTATTGCTTAGCTCCCTGGATTGTCATTAGATATGGAAATTTGGCTTCTTATAAGTTTGAGTTAAAGCAGGCTGGCTTCCTGGGCTGTTTATTGTGGATAGGAGGTTGGCTTCTGGGCAAGTTGTGGGTGAAAGTTCTATTTTATACTATGATCGGGTCATTTCGGTTTGTATATGCAAACTCTCAGTATTCATCAATCAGACTGATTAGTGGAGAGATAGAGAGCAAACATATTCACCACTGTTAACTGCTTACGACGATATAAGTTAAATCTGCCTACAAAGAACATTACATAAAAGTGCTAAGCGGAAGAGGGGGGGCGTGGATAAGAGAGAATTTGGAGAAGAAATACATTTTACTACTAAGAAAATCTAATCTGTTAAAATCAGGGAACAAAGAATACCAAGATGGGCGGGTAGTTCCTGCAACTCCCTCCTCCCTAGGTGAGGTTTTCAAAATTGGGACTGCAAGTCCAGGTACTTGGATATTATTTCTTTCTTTTCAGTTTTAAAAAATTTGAGATAAAATGCACATAGCAAAAATTCAACATTTTAACCACTTTAAAGTGTACAATTCGGTGGCTTTTACAATGCTGTACAATCATTACTATCATCTGATTCTAGAACGTTCCCAAAGAGAAACGTGGTGCCTGTTAGCAGACAATCCCAATCCCCACCTCTACCCGGCCCCTTGCAAGCAACAGTCTGCTTTCTGTCTCTAGGGATTTGCCTCTTTAAACAGTTCATATAAATGGGATCACAGGACATGTGGCCCTTGTGCCTGGCTTCTTCCAGCTAGCATAAT